TGGCTTTTGTTAGTAGCCTTACCCAAGTGGGTAAATATTTATGCACTGCTTTGGCCTGAGCTTTGATTTGTCAGCACCAAAGCACATTGCTTAAACATGAATTGAAATAAGTGGTATCCCACTTGGTTTGAAAATCAATAGAATATATATCAGCGTTAGAGGTTTATTTGATCGGACTTCTAAAATGCTCACAGAACCACTCTGTCACATCACCTTGTCACTTCAACTGATTTTTAAAGTGGATCTTTCAATATAAATAGAAACTCTAAAGTCATTATTGGTCTGCCAATGGCCAAAAAGCCAAACTAGATTATTCTTCCTTGTTTTGGTTTCACAGTCTGGAAAAACACCTACTTCAAGTTTAGTTTGTAACTTCTTTGTATGAACGCTTCTGCCTGAAAGACCTGATTGGTGCGAGATTTTAAGTTGCTGTTACACAAGAATACAGACTGACAAAGAACTTTGAAATGCTAATGTATTCATGCTTTTTGGCAAGACAAAACCACAAGGCTCAATGTATTTTGTAATAGAAGCACCCAAACGGCTGAATCATAACTCTGAAAGTGCAAGTCCGCTGAAAAAACTGCACTTATTAGAAGTAACAGAGGAGAGATAAACACAGTTTGAAAATAAGTTAGTAGAATTACAATTTAAAGTTTGCCACAAGCTGTGTGGTGGATACAGCAAACATGTGAAAGATAGCATACCGGTCAGATGAGACTTGAAACTGGGTCAGAGGTTTACCTTACAGCTGAACTGTCACACTGAACCAGCAAATTGCAACCATTTCAAATCAAAGAAACATTTCTGGTAAATAAATTCTACATAAAATCCTCCCACAACTGTTCAGCTTATTATACAATCACAGCACAAAATGTATATGTTTAATAGTTTCATTAAAGAATCTGTGTTGAATTTTCTATTTAACTGATGTTGAGACTTCTCTCTTATAAAAAGAATATTTCACCTACGTCTTTTGTGTGTAGGGTCACTTTATAGTCTATTTTAGTTCAAAATCAAAATCCCAAGAAAACAAGAAAAACACAAATTGTATTTAATTAATGATTGATATAAAGAAAACAATGTAAAAATGCTGAAATATTGTCTTTTTTAAACTGTTAAGCTTATTCTGCTTTGGAGTCTCTATGCAAATAATGAACCAAATCATATAGAAACACTGCTAAAATTCTGTTTTTATTCAAATTAAGAAGGAAAAAAAAAGCTTGCTGTATTATGAATAATATTTTATCCAGATTAGTTAGAGCCTCTGAGGAGGGCCTCAGGAGCCACATGTGTCTCTGGAGGTGCAGGCTGCAGACCCCTGTCCTAAATATAAACAATAGAGCTCCAATGTTTCATTTTTCAAAATTCAAAATTAAAATCTAATCCAATGTAACGCTTCAATGTGTTAAACTAAGAAAAAACACATAAGACTTGCTGCTACAGGGTGAACATGTAAACATTGGCCTAAAGGTCTCTACTTTTTGAGTCTCTTTATTTATTTTTATTTATTTTTTTATTTTTTGTAACAGTTGAGAGATTGCTTTTTTAAAGAAATGTCTGTTGGTTAATAACAGTAAGGAAACATGAAGTTGAAACCACCAGTCAGCCACATCCTTTTGCCACAGTCTCGGTGGAGTGTCTGTTGCTCTAACAGCCAACATCGCCTGTGCTGCGAATCAGGGCTGTGATTGGCCAAGGAGATCACCTCACTGCGTCACTCTCTCTCACACTGTGTGACTTTAAACGATGACGTTGCTCCTAACTGCTTCCCGCCACCATCAAAGCAAAGCTTCAGTCTGCAACCTTCTTCTTTAAACTTCCTCAATGCGCGCAGGAAATGTAGGTTAAAATGTTTCATACATGCCCAGTGGATTTAAAACATAGAAGAATCAAACAAATAATGCATGCAATTTAGGAGTTTTTCTTCTTTATGTAAAATACAAAATACTTAAAACTTTGTAAAAAAAAATGTTATTTGACCTTACAAAACCCAGAGTGGGTGGCGCAATTGGATGCCCGTTATTACAAAGTAATGAGGCGCTTCTGTGGAAAGGTGAAAGTTCTATGGCAAGCAGTTTGTGTAATTATTTGTAGAGATGGACAGAGCACTCAGAAATGGTTCCTTAGGCCCTGTCCACACGAAGACGAACCCTGGCCTAAACGCACAAATTTTTCACCAAACCAGCCTCTCATCCACATGAAGCCGGCGTTTCGGGGGTCTGTAAACGATCTTTTTTTTATTCAGCCTTCAGAGTGGGAAGATTTCGAAACGCCGTTTTCGCGTTTCCATCTTTACGCTCTAACCGCATATTTTTTTTACACGCATGCGTCATAGCGTCGCCTCTAAACACGCATGCGCGACCAGTATCACAACAACAATGGCGCCGTTGCTGCTAATGCTACTCACCCTGCTGTCGGGCTTACAGCAGAATCTTCTTCTTCTGGAATATCTCCATGAAGAACAGAGCAATATCGACGACATAGTTCAGCACCTGAATTTGACTGAACCACGAAAATGGACCCGCAGGGCAACCATGTATAAATATTAGTGTGCATGCCCAACATTTCGTCGCTTATTTTTGCTTTGGCACCACAGCGCCACTTACAGGCCTGGCATACATTTTGCAGCGTTTTCATGCATTCGTGTGGACGATCACATTTATTTTACGTCTCCGTCTTTACGGCAAATGTTTTGGAAAATATCAGCGTTTCGTGTTCGTTTTGACTTCGTGTGGACGGGGCCTAACTAAAATAAACACTTCTTAAGCATGTTTAAGTTAAAAAGTACATTAAAAAATTGCTCTGGTTAGATTAATGGGAATGGGGTGTGCTTTGGTGGCGCAGTGGTTAGCACACACGACCCATGTATGGAGGCCCTAGTTCCAAAGGCGTAGCCAGAAAAGTTTTTATAAGGGTGGCCAGGCAATAACTAATGTACACTGAGGGGTGGCCGAAAGCGGATAGGCGCCAGAACCTCAGCGTCCATCTACACTGTTCCAACAGGAAAATTAATTAGCAAAACATCCATATTTTCTAAACAAAGACAAACTATACTTTCCCACAACCTTTGCTAACAAATAGACAAATATATATAAACATCCGTGCTTTCTAGATAAAAGGTATAGTGGATAAAATTCTTTCAGGTTTTGAGTTTTGAGCGAACATCTTTTCCATCGTCATTACTTACCTACTTTTATCAGTAATCATTCTACGTAAAATTTATATTTACAAGTACTAATATCTACTTAAATTGATTAGTTAATATGTTTGTATTAAAATAGTTATTTATCTATGATTTCCCTGAAGACCCCCAGATGACTTGTGGACACACATCATTTTCTCTTTAGCCCATAAAAGACAAAAGTAGTTAGTTCTGAAAAGAGCATGAATTCTGTACTTATCTTCTTTAGTTATAGTATATTAATGAGCATAATTAACCACAGTGTTTTTGTTGTCAAGTAATTGTAATATGTGTAAAATTAAAATGTTTTGAATATTCCACTTGAGAGTATTACTGCTGCCAACATCTGTATTAGAGGGAAATAAAGGGTAGGGGTGGCCACAGGGGTGGCCAATGATTGGCTAAGAGTGGCCTCGGCCACCCCTGGCCCCCCATCTAGCCCCGCCCCTGCCTAGTCCTCTATGCGGGCTTACCGGGTTCGAATCAAGCCTGTGGTCCTTTCCCGCATGTCTCTCCTCCTCTCTCATATCCCCTTTCCTGTCAGCCTACTGTCCATAAAAAAAGAGTGCCGTTAAAACTAAAAAAAAGTTGTATTTATCAAATGTATAAAATCAATTAGACAAGGACTTAGATTAAGTAATATAGATATGTTTAGGACAGCTTTAAGGACCTACAGGGGGACTATCTTCTGTTTATCTTCCCCTTCCAAACGCTATTGAAACCTTAGTGGATAGAAAACAGACTTACTTTCCAAAATCTGTTTTTGCATAAACCTTTTCTGTGTGCTTGTGTTTGGAGCAATTTTGGATTAGTCCCAATTGGTTTTCATTTAGTGGAACTACTCATGATGGAGAGAGTAGCCAAACGTTTTACTCAATAGGACTAGCCTATAATAATAATCGTACTCAAGTCAAAGTAAATATTATGGTACTTTAGTTTTTCAATAATTAGTTAATAAATAATAAATACAGTACAACCACCTCTGAATGTTTTGGTGATAATCACCATTTTGTTGTTTGCTAACATGTTGCTAATGTTTTTGGTATAAAATAGATTCCTGAAAGTTTTTTTTTTGTTTGTTTTTGGTTTTATTTGGTCAGTTCCTACCCAACAGAGGGACATTTTATACCTACTTTTAAAACAGAGAGTAATTACAAATGCTGCTCCTATACAGTGTAGAGATATAGCTCATAATATTGCATACTTATAATGTTTATATCAATGGCAGATTACTTTGTATTATATTGTGTCGACCATTGAAAATAATCTGTCATGTTTATAAAAGTAAATGGGTAAACAGTGGACTTAACAACAGTGGTTCTGTTTAAAATTGTTTAAAAAAATGTAAAAATAATCTTTATTAAACTCAAAGGAAAGTTGAAGATTTCACCTCTAGGCTAAAGCAATTTTGTATATATCAAAATACAGGTCCTATTTTACGTCTTTCTTTCTTTTTTTTTTTTTTTGAGTTCTTTAGTTGGAAACTGTAAATATTTACCGGTACTAAGACATTAAAAGACAAGCATGGTGCCAACAGACTTAACAACAGACTCCTCAGGTTTGGGACTGACTAAAGAACCAAATTTTGAAAAATCAAATACTAACACTATTTAGGGGTTCCCATGGTATCTAACTGGTTACAGAGTGGGGAAAAAAATTTAAAGCCAAGAAGTTGGAAGGACTTCTGCATCAGAAACTTAAAAGCTGTTGAGTAGGATTATATATACAATTGATTTGCCATACCTGTTTGTAAGCTCACCAGGTGGAAGCTGATTGGCCGACAGGCTGGTGGGTTTTGCTGCATCTGACGTCATGCTCCCCACAAGCAACGTGAAGAGTTAAAGAGAACAAACACAGATGAAGAACAGAGACTCGCTTTCATTTAAAAAATAATCCATCGCGGCTCTTTAACACAAAAAATCCGGAAATGTGAGAATCTGTTGAGAAACTGGAACTCTGCACTGTCTCTGTTTGGCTCTCAATTAAAGAATCGCGCCTTCCTGCATGTTAAAGCTGGCATACTCATTACAAACAGGTATGTGTCTGCTTATATAAACACATTGCATTCCTCAGTCTGTTCCTTTATTTGCAAGAATGAAAATTTCTACTACCGTAATTTGCTCAGAGATGTCATACTCATGTTCTTACACCGTTATTATCATTAATAAATGTTATTTATTTCTGACTATAAGCATAAATATATGTCAAATCTCTAACTATATTCCCAGGGATTAATTGTTTTCCAAATAAATGTTTTTTTTTTTTAGGGAGCTGATTGGCTGCATGCCTGCATGCACGTGTGCTGACATGTGTTGGTTCATTTTGTAATTATCTATTGTTTCATTTAGTAATCATTTCCATTTAAAACTTGGGAACTTGAATATAAATGGATGTGGTAAATCTCCAGCCTGTGTTGTAAGATGAGACCGGGGCTGAGAACAAAAGGCTCAGTCTATAATATCTGCTGAGTGGACCAGTCCTGGTCATATTAAACTGCAGACTGCAAACTAACCAGCATATTAAGCTCACAGTTTGGGCTCAAGTGTAAACTTACTGCTAAGTGCATTTAAAGCAACTCTTCCTCTTTTCTTTTTTTTTTTTTTTCTCACAGAAGACAGCCTATTTTTAGACTGAGCTGCTCAGCATTCTGTAACAACCCTTCTAGGATCAGCAGAGATGAAGGTTATTTACAATAAACACCTCTCAGTACAGCTTTTTATAGTCTGACCTGGTGTTTGGAAGTCTGGGGCATATAAGAGACGAAGTGGGAGTGGAGAACCATGAATAGTCTCATATAGGGTGATCAGTTTTCAAAGTCAGATTCACCTTGTTTGTTTTAAACATTGAGACACCTACATTCAGTTTATTTTAGATCTCCTTACCCCACCCAAACATTTATTTCCTTACATATACCTCAATATTTACATTTGCTTTAAGAAGAAGCACTAACACTTCAGGGGAAAACAGTGTTTCAGTGATAAACATGCTGTTTTTAACATTTCAGCGGCTCAGTCTAGGTCTTGCTGTTCTCAATGTCATGGTGTAAATCTAGACAGGGACAGTTGTGATGAAACAATCGATGAAAGAGAGGCTGGTTTATCTTGGTCTGTTTGCTGGTGTTGCTGAATGGAAAACAGTCAGATACCTTTTCCACACTAAAGGATGGGAATGTAAAGTAGCAATAAATGGCTCCCCATATGGTGACTTGCAAAAGTTTTCAAACCAGTGGAACGTGGTATTAATCTCCTTACAGTGAGGCACGGTGATGGCTGCATCACTTCACAAATTCTACTGGTCTGTTATGAATGGATAGCTAGCAGCTAAACCGTTTTTTTTTTTGTTTTTTTTTTTCTGTTTCCTATGTTATCTTCACATTTATTAATAACAGACCCGTCAGACCATGAACTACGTGGGTCAGCTTGCAGGCCAGGTGTTTGTCCAGGTCAAAGAGCTGTACAGAGGACTTAACCCTGCAACGCTTTCTGGCTGCATCGACGTCATCGTGGTGAGACAGCCGGATGGCTCCCTGCATTGCTCACCTTTCCATGTTCGCTTCGGCAAAATGGGAGTCCTCCGCTCCAGAGAGAAAGTGGTGAGGAGGCTTTAGGGGATTTATGGGGGGAGGCAATAGGGGATCTTTTTTTGTTCATGATTAGAAATTTACTTTTTTTTTTTTTTGTTAGGTGGACATTGAAATCAATGGAGAATCGGTGGATCTTCATATGAAGCTTGGCGATAACGGAGAGGCCTTTTTTGTGCAAGAAACCGAAAACGATCAGGTAATGACCAGAGAAATACATTCTCCCTGAGGTTCTTTGGTTCCCGCGGAACCACAGCCTTCGCTCCAATAATAAACATAGCTGTTTACCGTTTCCAGAAGATTCTCTCTGCAGTTTGAATCAAAGCAGGCCAGGCTCCACTCAGCCCACATGTCATCACAAAGGCTCAAACAGTTATCTTCCTTACATTTCGTCACAGATCCAGAAGGATCACACTGTGTGCAGAGTTGGCACTGCAGGCTGGATTTTTTTTTCCTCTCCCTTTTTTAAAACAGCCTCCGTCTGTTCACCAGTGAGGGGGGCTTATAAAGGGGGTATTTACTGTTTGAGCCATTTTACCTGTATTTCCGACAGTGTTGCAACCCTACATCTCATAACAGAAATATGCTTGTAGAATTTCCTGAATTTAGCATTCTGGATTTAAATGTATAATTTAAGTTGAAGAAATGCATATTTATAATTTGAATATATTAATTGTTTGCACCCTTTTTAGGAACATTAATAGCTCTACTTCAGTGTTTAGAGAAGCTGTTTTGCATCTTCCACCACTACTTTGGATTTTCATGGTTTTGTTTTTGCAAGTAAGCTTAAACAGTTTAGGATCTTATGTTTTTTTTTTTTTTTTTTAATGAATGGCACTTTTTAATATTTATTTTGATCCTGGTAAAAGTGTGGCCAACCAGCAGTAATAAAAGGCTGGCTCTAACAGCGGATGTGGGTGATGTGTTTTCCCTAGACTGGTGTCAGATTCCCATGCTTAAAGGAGCAAAGAGGAGAGAAGGAGGAGTTTAGAGCTTCTTAACCAACTTTTTTCACACAAGGGAGCAAAACATGAGGGAGTTTTTCTCTTCTTCCCCACATAGTTCTACACATTTATGGAAAAAAAAAAGAAAACAGCTTTTCCTAGAAAGTATTTTCTTTTCATGGAAGTGCAGCTTGTTGAAGAGTCTGAAAAACATCCTTTACAAAGCTGTGAAACATATTCTGTTTTGCATGTATTATAATTATTAACTCAGCAAATAAATACATTTGAAACAAATAATGTAAAGTGCATATCAGATCAACAATTTATTTTTGTGGTCATTGTTAAATACCTAGTTTATCATCTTTGTCAGAGAGCTTGATGATGCTTATCCAAACACAAATAATAATTAATACCGCAGTAATCAGTGTGGCAGAGTGAGTCATCTGCAATTAGTGGAATGGCTTTTTCCATCCACAACACAAAGAGAACCTTCAACTAATGCTGTGCCTCTTTTTATCTCTAGATTTCCTTCTGCATCACCATGTTTGTTTTGTCTGAAAAGTTCCACTGAATTTAAAAGCTCGCCCAGAGCTGCCCTCTAGTGGGTATAAGGCATACTTGTTAACTTACATTTATTGAAAGCAAGATTAAAGCATTATAAAAGCGTATCAATGTGTGTTCATATTTACCTGGGCAGCATAAAAACTCCTTAATGCATTGCTTAACTGCTGCTTAAGTTATACAGTCCAGGACAATTACTGTAAATTAACATATTTCAAATGGGTGTTTATGGCAATAACTTATAAAACAAACCTCTATAATTGTACATTTATCAATTATAAATTTTCTTTTTCCTTTCTTTTGTTCTGTTTGCTTACATTTCCCTTGGTAAACCAGTGGATAGACAGCTGAAACTGAACATGCTGAGTTTACCAGCAGGAATAATTGCCCCCAAACCCAAATCAATACTAGTTTTGAACAGGATTAAATCAGGCTAATCATACGCTTCGGGAAAGGGCTTCATTAAAACTTAGCGTCTTCATCCACTGCTTTTGATCTTTGGTGGACCTTGCTACAAGGCCAGGTCCTGTAGCAGTAAAAAAAAAAAACATTCCCCTCCTTTCCTTGAGTGTAATCCCACTTCTGACCTTAGTATCACATAGGGTGTGTAGATGTTTCTCTGTGGGCTTTCCATACCTAGAGACAGAAAGCATTAAGGTTAGGGGTTTTATTTATTTTAAAAGGGCTCAAAAGCTTTTTTTTTCATGCTTCATTACTTTAAAGTCTGTGTCTTTAGGTAACTTAAGCCTATATGTAACCTTTTTCTTCTTCCTTGTGTTTATGATCTTAACAGGAAGTAGTTCCCTCCTATCTGGCTACCTCTCCCATCTTGTCAGACGCTGCCTTTTCATTGAGCTCCCCTCTGATGGGGAAGAGCACCGGACCTCCTATACAGACCCTGTACCCCTTAGGGAGCAATGGCGAGAGCAGTGGGGCGATAAAAAAGAGCAGGAAAAGGAGGAGAAAGAGTCGGGCAGACAGCGCAAGGAGGGGAGAGAGTGGAGACTACTCGGCTGATGAAGACATGTTTTCAATAGACATCAGTTCTGATGAAGAGACGGAAATGGAGAGCGGCAGGTAGGAAGCAGCAGAGTGAAGGGAGAATGAGAGAGGTGGCAAAGCATTTATCAGAAGAAGTGAGATTTAATATAATTAAATAATGGAGAAAAGAAGAGTTTTAGACAGAGCTATGGTGCAGGATGAAGAGAAGAACTGGCAGGCAAGAGTTCAGCGTTTAGCTGAACACAAGTAAATCTTTTAGTCATTTTAAATAATGCTTAATAATGACTTTAAAAAGCACAGATGCATTTTTTAGCAACTGAAAACCGAACCTGCTCAGGAATTCTGCTTCTCCTGCAGATCTTTATCGAGGGACGCGTTGAGAGATGAAACAGGAGCTGTTTCAGGCAAATGTTCTTTCAAACAGGCTGGGATCCACACTCGTTCAGATGGAGACTGGAGCCCAATCCACAGGTAATATACCACCTTCCCATGATTTACTTGAAGCTGCAAAATATGTATATCCAACTCTTTACATTCTCTGATCTCTGATTTTAAGGACTGCGCTCAGTTCAGAGCTAGATTTAGTGTAACAATATGCTACTGCAAGAAGATTAAATTCTTTTCACGTGTTTCCAAAATGCTTCCAAGATATTTGAAAGGTTCTGTAGTTTCATAAATAGATGTGTAATTAAATTTATCTCTTCCTCTCAGCCGAGATAACTCCCGCCCCACCTCTCCAAAGAGCGACTCAGAGCTGATCACCAATCTATCAGATTCACATAGTCAGAATCCAGCCATGCACTGGGCGTGGGGAGAGCTGCCTCAGGCTGCTGCGGTATGCAGACAAATCGGACAACTATCTAAAACTATAAAATGACTATTTTATGTTGCCTTTTTTATTGTTTAATACAAGTACCTCTCATTTCCACCTCTATAGCCTTCGTTTCTTTCACTGAAGGCTGCTGTGCCACGTCCTTATCCTGTATCCATTCCCATGTCCGAAAATACACATTTCCGAGCGATCCCTCATCAAGCACCATCAGACCAACCATGCTCTAAAATACAAGCTCCCAGTCTGCTGATTGAAGAGGAGACAGAAGTCAAAAAGGAAAAGGCGGTCAGAGTCAGGATGGAGTCTGAATCCATGAGGATGGAGGCCCAGATATCAACTTCAGAGACGCAGATGACTGCATCTGGAGGGTTGGGAATGCAGAGGGTGACTGAAACAGAGGAAACAGTTGCTTGCACATCCACTAAAACAGACTCTCCGTCAAAGAAAAAAGGTAAAAGTGCGGCTCGTTCATAAAGGAGAAAGTATCTATAGTCTGCTCAGAGTTTATCTTGACAGGCAAGCAGTGCTGTTTTCTCCCTGTTTTACTCAGGAAAAATCACTTTGGATGAAGAACCAGCTGTTTTGCTTAAACAAAGTTACTTAGGAACACTAAGCTTATCTACAACTTTGAAGAAAGAAAAATCTCATAGATTTAATTCATAATCACGCCAAAGTAGCAAAGTGCATCATGAATACAAAGCCGTATACCTATACAAATATTTAAGTTTCCCATTTTAACTTTAAGTCAACCAGACCCACAGTGCTGTCTTCCTAAGCTTCTTGGACAGAAAATATTGATATAATTAAATTGGATAAACTAAAAATGAGAATTAGTCAAACTGAAGCACACCTCTGAGAAATGATCTTCTGTTGAAGTATAAATGACAAAAACCTGATTTTATTCTGAACTTTCTGTAGACAAAAGGAGCCGCCATCTTGGTTCTGATGGAATTTACTTGGACGACATCACAGAGTTGGAGCCGGAGGTGGCTGCCCTATATTTCCCTAAAAGGTACAAAAACAGATACATGCACCCAGATCATGTGTAATAACAGTGTTTTAACACAACGATCATTCTGAAGTAGCTTTTTAAGCTAAACATTTCTGCTTGCAGTGAGAGCTCGTCCACCATGAGAAGTATCTCTGATCCAGGGCTTCACAGCACCAGCTTGTCCCCACAGTCTATGAGCTCAGGGGGAGACAGCGGTGTGGACAGCTACTGTGACCCCATGTCTGACCTGCCATCTATGGCCATCTCTCTGTGTGGGGGGCTCACTGACAACAAGGAGATTACTAAAGGTACGTTATCACAAGTGACAAAACTACTGCAACAGACACGTCCTATAAAGTGGTGCAGCTTTTAGAACCTGTTCTCCCTATCTGTTTTTGTTTTTAGAGCAATTCTATGATAAAATCATCTCCTATCAACAGTTTGCTGAGAACCCCTCCATCATAGATGATCCAAACCTGGTGGTTAAAATCGGCACAAAGTAAGAAACTTAAATATGTTATACAAGAATTTGCAAAATGTGACTTAACCCTGACTGTGTAAAGAAAACATATAAAGAATATTTTCTAACTATCCCTGTTTAAATGCATTACTTGATCCAATGAATAAATAACATGTTGTCTGCTTCAGGTACTATAATTGGAGCACGGCGGCTCCACTCGTGCTCGCCATGCAAGCCTTTCAGAAACCTCTGCCAAAGGTAAAAGGTGATGGCACACACACATCCAGATACAAATGACTTAGAGCATTTAGAACGGATTGATTTATATCTTTCTGTGCTATGCTCTACAATTAGTCCAGACTCAATTTAACAATAAATATTCAGTCTAAAAAATTCTCCTGAGAAATCAAATGAGTTAAGATTAGTTAAGCTGGCTGGCTTGTAATGCTAGTACACTGCAACAAAAAAAACCCTAATTAAGTGCATTTTCTCTTGAATTGAGCAGGTAAGTGTGACTTTTAATTCTAAGGCTAAACATACTGATTCCAACTTATTTACCCTCTCAAATTAAGGGTAAAGTCACTAGTTTTAAGATATTTTTCTCATTTTAAGATTATTTTATCAGTGTAGGTCTTTTCCAACACTGCTTTGTGGCTCTCAAGTTGATATATTTGGCAGCCATATACTGTTGGGTAAAATGAGCCAACTTAAACCTGTCTTCCCCTCTGTTCTCTGCTCCTCCTGTTTCATCCTGTTGTTCCTCCTCCTTCCTCACATTAGTCCTCATGTCTCAGTTATTTACTTTCATCCTTGGAGTTCCTCCTCTGTTGTCTGACTGAAATCGTCAGCTCCACCTCTGTATGTTTGAAGACTCTTCCCTCTCTGTTTTTATTTATTTTCACTCTCTCTCTCTCGTCTCACAGTTTGTTTGGTTTTTTGGTTAAGGTGAAGGCTTATTTCTGATTCACCGTTTGTTGATTTATAATCAGCTTTTTTTAAGTTTCAGTTTTAATGTTGTGTTGTGGATCTCTGGGCTGTCCGTGCTCCTCCTCAGGCCACAGTGGAGAACATCATGAAGGAGAAAATGCCCAGGAAAGGAGGGAGGTGGTGGTTCTCCTGGCGAGGCAGAAATAACCAAAAATCAGTAAGCTCTTCTACTCTCCTCACTCCTAATAGAGCATTGTTTCAGGCCATTTGATTTTCAATGAGCATGAACGGTTTTGTTCAGGAATCCGTCGCTGAATGTGGGGCGTGTGGTACTACTGAGCAAGTTGGAATAATGAAAAGCAGGTCAGTAAAAATTCTCCCCTAGAAAACATCCATCCATCTTAATACATTTGGAATTTTACCCAAAACTTCTTCTATTTTAGTAGCCCAGTTCAAAAAGTGAAAATTGCTTAATAATACACTCATTGCACACAGACTGATACATAATTTTACCATTTATTTATGTTATTATTGATTAAGACTGCAGAGCAACAGCTCTTTCTGTAAGACATGACAGAAATAAATATGGGAAATCTATGTTTTGAACTGAACTACTAAAACAATAACTTCTCTACAGATCAATCTGTGCAATTTTAATCATTTAATATATAATCTCTTTCATCATAGGCTTAAAGAAGAGACATCATCTAGTGATGAAGATCACATTGCAACCATGCAAAGCTCTCCCATCATCCAATCAGAACCTGGGGTCTCTTCAAGGGGTGTGTCTTACAAGAAAACGCTCCGCCTCACATCAGAGCAGCTGGTGAGGATTAGTTTGTCTACAGCTTTCAGCAGAATCTTCCTCTCTGTTTTGCTGAATTGTGTTTCTAATTTTTTTCTTTCATTGTTTTCTCCTATCCATCCCATACATCCAGCTGTCACTTCAACTTCAGGACGGTCCTAATGATGTTGTGTTTAGTGTGACCACTCAGTACCAGGGAACCTGTCGCTGTCAGGGAACCATCTACCTCTGGAACTGGGATGACAAGATCATCATATCTGACATAGATGGAACCATTACCAGGTGTTGGAAGCATTAACAAATTAAAAGTGCTTATTGAAAAGAATTGAAGCGTATTTGGAGTAAAAGCAAAGTGGAATAACAGTTTGCCCCATTAACACCCACATCTTTGGACAGTTGATTGTTTGACTTGATGTTGGGCTCTGATTTATGCAGTGTCTTTCCTAGTAAAATTCACCCTAAAACATGCAGTTGTTTGGCAAGGTCTCTGCCCATTTCAGTTTAACTAACTGAAAAATGTCTCTCAACTTATTTCCAGGTCCGACACATTGGGTCACATCCTACCAACACTTGGGAAAGACTGGACTCACCAGGGAATCGCACAACTTTACCACAAAGTCAGCCAGTGAGCCCCTTTCTTTCTAACTAAATCCTTCATCTCTATATCAAGGGGAGTGGCTGCCTAGTGGTTAGGGAATTGCACTGGGAATCCAGAGGTTCTGAGTTAAAGCCTCACTCCCACAGACTGCCTCTCTGGGTCCCTGAGCAAGACCCTTAACCCCACACTGCTCCCCGGGTGCCGCACAATGGCAGCCCACTGCTCCCCAAGGAGATGGGTTCAATGCAGAGAGTTCATTTCATGGTTCTCTACTTGTGACAGTGGAATGACAATAAAAAAAAGCTGAAAAAATTACATGGCTTTATTTAAATGTACATAGTTATGATATTAATTGATTCATAGTTTATTATATATGCACACATTTATAGATAGAAATTGTTAAGACGCCAGGAAAATTAAAATAAATGTAATTATTTGCAATAGCATAATCTCACAACAAAAGAATAGAAAAAAAATTACCTTTATTGTGAACTTTATTGTGTGTTTGTAAAAAAACAAAACAAAAAAACAATGATGTAAACAGGAAGGTTTTAGAAGGAATATCTTCCTAAAAATGTTTATATAAAAAATAAAGAATAGCTCCACTGTTTAAAACATGAGGTTTTAAAGCAAATGTTTTGTAAAGGTAATACATAGAAATGTTTTCCAGTTTAAGCAAAGTTGAGGATGTTAAAATACTTTATATTTACTCTATAAATACACTTTATATATGTATATTTATAATTCAGTATATGTATAATTTGCTTTTGATAAAACAAAGTAAAGGCATTCTTTTTAAAGCTAAACCTAAACCTGCTAGCTGGCACACTGGGATTAATGGGTCCAGAAATTATTGATTTTAACATAAAGCACCCAGATTTGTGTTAAAATGAGTTAGATTTTTTTTTCTTTCTTTCATTTATAATTGTTTTCTTTCATTTATAATCAAACAATTTTAATGATAAATGATTTATGGACAGTTTACTGGCAGAGGACATAGGAATTTAATTTTGAAGTGTCTGACAATACCATGCACTCTGGAAGAGAGGCGTGCCAATGCAGCTGACTGCATTTTTACCTGAAAATACTTAATAAATGCAAAGTTTAAAACATGGGCTTCCATAGGAAAAATAGTCTTTCATTTAAACACTACATGGAATGATTTAATATTTCCATATATAAGCAGTTTTTATCGGTTGCTAATTTGTTCGTCTTTCTATCAGAAATGGCTACAAGTTCCTATATTGTTCAGCCCGAGCGATCGGCATGGCAGATATGACCAGAGGGTACCTAAGCTGGGTCAATGAGAGAGGCACCATGCTACCAATGGGCCCCGTCCTCCTCAGCCCAAGCAGCCTTTTTTCTGCCTTGCATAGGTAATTTTCCAACACCTTAACCTTATGCATTTGTCTGCACTTATTTAACATGATCTCAGTGAGATTTTTATTTCTGGATAGGGAGGTGATTGAGAAGAAACCTGAGAAGTTCAAGGTGGAGTGTCTCACAGATATCAGAAACCTCTTCCATCCAAACAAGGAGCCTTTTTACGCAGCTTTTGGAAACAGACCTACGGTATGCAGTCACATATTTTAGATTTTTGTTTTGTGTAACATTTTGCTCTAAAGAAGCAGCTCAGGGTGAATATATTTCTTTTTTTTTATTATTTGTAGGATGTGTATTCTTATAAAGAAGTTGGAGTACCGCTAAACCGGATTTTCACTGTCAACCCTAAAGGGGAGCTAGTGCAGGAACATGCAAAGACCAACATTTCCTCGTAAGTAAATATGGGTTTTTGCACTGAAACCTTTCATCTATAATCATTTGCATTCATCTCAGTTCTGCTGCCTCTTTCTAACCCCTTTTCCAGCTATGTACGTCTTGGTGAGGTTGTAGACCACGTGTTCCCGTTAAAGATGCGTTCCTGCTCCTCTGACTTCCCCTGCTCCGACACCTACAGCCACTTCACATACTGGAGGGAGCAGCTCCCCAGTGTGGAGCAGGAGGAAACAACATCCCTGCAGACTTCCAGCTCCACCAACTGATTCCCACCTCAGCTTCATCGGCAAACAGAATGACTGTTACGGAGCAATGATTTAGGCAGTGAAAGCTGTACATTCTTATCAAAGTTGAAGTATTTTATGCACTTTCAAAGTAAACTGAGAAGTAGATTATTCTTTGAAGTCTTAAGGACAAAAGGGGAACTTCTATGCGCTCACTTGGATGTATATATTTAGAATGAATTATTATAATCTATCCTGGCAGCTTAGTGGAGTTATTATTATTTCAGTTGATTAATGTTATCTCAGTGGTTAGACTTTCTATTTATGATAAAAAATGCACTGTGAGAGCTCACAATCCAGCCATGCAAGGACTTCAAACATGTGCCAAAGGTTGACTGTGATATCTGGTGTTGATGGTTGCAGACCTGCCTTGCAAAAAAAAAAAAAAAATTCTGATAGCAAGCATAAACAATCTTCTATGTAGCTTTAAATATACTAAATAGGAAATCACAACACCATTAGCTGTAGCCATTAATCCCTCTAATGTTTAATCTGTGAGATTATTGAATGTTTATCTTTTTATCCAAACCAGTGTGCATGTGCTGAGTCATGTTTTATATTTTAGTTGTTAATGGGATAATGATGTAGACTACCTGACTGATGCCATTTCAAACACATTACAGTTTGAATGTTTATGGGTTGGGATATTACTATCAAACAACACCACAGACAGTATGAGGTTACATCTGGGGAGTGTTGGCCTAGTGTGTTAGAGCAGTGCGCTTGTGCTCGGAGAAGCTTGCAAGTACCCGGTTCGATCCCCACAGCCTCCACTCTGGGTTCCTGAGCAAGACTCTTAACCCCACACTGCTCCTCAGGTGCTGCACAATGGCAGCCCACTGCTCCTCAAGGGGATGGGTTAAATAGAGAGTGAATTTCCCCATTGTGGGAAAATAGAGGGATTAACATTACATAAATGCTGGAACCATTGTTATAGCAGACAAGAATGTGAATTAATTGGTTTCACACATTAAGCTCACAGTATTGTTTGATAGACCGGTAGCTCTGTAATAAATACTGTTATTCTTTCTATGAAAGAGTGAATACATGTTCTCATGCTAATTATTTGCCTCAACTGTGAAGCGTTTCCCTCTCGGCCTCACTGACCAGTTTATTATCAAAGTGGTCTCATTAAATAAATTATATAATTGTTACTGGGAATGTGTTTGTTGTTTTTTTTTACCATTAATTTAAGGTGATCTTTTACTTATCTGCAGGACACATTTGTGTTAAATTGTATTTCTTTTGAAGAATTTTGTTTGCTGTTTTTGCACATTGGATGTTTCATGCATGATTATTTATGTATGAAAAATACACACAATCTGAAATGGGACATTTCATTCTAACCATCTCTTGTGGACATTTTCCAATTGAAAAATCCCTCCAGGGGTCTGGTGCCTATCGCCAGCTGTCAACAGGCAAGAGGCGGGGTACACCCTGGACTGGTCTATGGCAGTGAAACTAAGAGACACACAGGACAAGCAACCATTCTCGCACACACTCACACCTTTATTTTTACATTATCAAAAAAAATAAAAATAATTTTTCTTGCATAGTTGTTTATGCTGTGGCTCTGACGCCTGGCCACCTATCCGTTTGGAGGAAGGCTATCCGCCCTCTAGTCTAATTACTGCAGTCAAAGCATCAGGAAGCTTTTAAGACTGGGACCAAAATTTTGAGCCCCCCGCTCGCACCAGGAAAAATGACGTGTAATACCACTGGACGTGGAAAGATATGATGGAATAATTTAGTCAGGTATACAGAAGGTTCAATTATGCGTCAATAATAAGTGGGTGAATAAACATCTGTATAACACTTATTTTCCCTGTGTATATACATACTAGCTTACATTAATATAACAAACGTGTAACTGCTCTTCTACCTGCCTTTGTAATTGAGCTTGATTGGGGTCATAAAATCCAGCAGAGGTCATCAAAGTTAATGTTAGAAGCATCACCTGCCCTGACCTCCATCTGAACCACAGCAGGAGCCTCTTGGTGGGGGGTTCTCCGACCTCTTCAGATGGATCTTTTCTCCCAGCCAGTCCTCCAAAGATTTACCCCCAGAGTTTCTGGGGCAGAAAGTGGCACTGCCAAAGCGTGAAAGCATCTTCAGCATCCCTGTCTTCAGGTACAGAGGGAAGCCTTCTGGGTCCTGAATACAGCCGATGTGTTTGTGCTGGTCTCTCCACACCTGCTGGATGCGCTCATGTTCCGGCAGTGGTGCTCCCAGAGTGTCCCTCCCCTTCTCACTGTCCATCTAATCTATTAGGGCCTTTATCCTTCTTGACGTCTCCTCCACCCCTCTTGTCCTCTTCCGGCTATGCAGAGCTAACTCCTTCCTGCTGATCATTTGGTCCAGGGCCTTCTCAAAGACTGGATCAACTCCTCTGGCCAGAAGCTCCCCCTGTTTATCCAGCCGAAGAGCAGCAGCATGTTCTGGGTCCAACTCAAAAATGCACCTGGAATGTTTATTTTGAGAACATGCTCTGTTATATAAAGAAAAAAGAAATGTTACCTTAACTTGCAATTGAGGTAAACAGATATAATTCCATTGTATTTTGCTTTTTATGAACTAAAATACAAATTTCCCCAATTCAATCTTTTCTATGAACCTGAAAAATGACTACTAATATATACAAGCAGGATGACTGTTGACCTTGACAGCCGAGCAATGAAGGTACTGTAGGGCTGATGAGCCTCAGTGACGACTCCTGCTGCAAATGTCCATTCCACATCTGAATGGACATCCACATCTGTCCATTCCACATCTGAGCTCATTCCACTCTGAAAACATGGCCCTGACCTGCGACTAACTGTGAGCATGTGGGCTGCAGCAGTCCCGGTTCACATACATGATGACAGGCGGTGCCACTCCTGCCTCTCAGTACCTCCTCATGAGAAATGCTGCCATGGGCCGAAGTCCATGCCCCTCTGCGGCGGTCAGCACTGTGGCCATCTCATACCACCCATCTATATCCAGTACCTTACGCACAGTGCGGTAGAGGCCAGCAGCTTTCAGCTTGTGGTTACCGCAGGCTGGCTGGACACAGACCAGGGGAATGGACCACAGCTTTAGCGGCATCCAGAGGAACAGAGGGCGGCAGAAGATGTCAGGAGAAATGTAGCATTTATTCCATCCCCTTGGGAATCAGTGGGCTGCCATCGTGGGGCACCTGGGGAGCAGTGTGGGATCTTGCTCAGAGAGCCAGAGTGGCAGTCCGTAGGAGCATTGCTCAAACTCAGAACCTTCAGGATCCCAAGCCCTATGCCCTAACCACTAGGCCACCACTCTCCAAACTCCTGAAATTACAGTTTATTATGATTGTATGTGTAACTGCCATCAGTCAACTCATTTAAATATTTTAATATTGTTAAAACAAGAGTTCATACAGACTAGCATCAAAATTAAATGTTCAATAATAAATAACTTTTAGTAAATTTATGCTTATGTACAGTGGTTAAAAAGCACATTAAAATGTAAGGAGGAACCTATGTTTTTGTTCCACATGTCACATTGTTGCCCATGGGAAAGATTGATTGACATTTTTTTGCATCACTAGGACTGTTTTCCAGGAAGTTTTAGCAGGAAACGTTAAGATTTTAATTGTGAAAGCTGTATAAATAATCTTTATTCCTCTGGAGTTTACGCGGTCAATGAGGTACGACTTTGTTTTACTTGTTTTGAGCTAATTTGGGTTTCTGTTTCCCTTCTTAGTTCTGACGGCATTTTCTGGGGCTTTGTAAGACATGTCCACAATGAATATCTGTTAAAACCAAAAGGACGACGTTGAGCCTTGATTATCTCGAGAGGAGTAACAGTATGAACATGAAACAAATAAAAAAAAAGTAGAATTATCAACATCTTAAATTTAAGTAGTAAAATGTATAGTTTTGATTTGAATTTGTGATCTTGTTTTTTCACTTTTTAATCCGTTTGATTTGAAACAATACTATGTGTGCACATATCCTTTGGTATGCTCATATGAGGTGTAGCCTTGTGGGTAGGAGTTGTCAGGAGCAGAGCATCCGCTTTCTAGAGAGGCCACAAGGTTGCTGGTTTAAATCTTGGACTGTCATGCTCGGACCCTGACCAAGGCCCTCAGCTCCGGATTGCCCACGTTGCGCTGCAAGCTGCTGACAGCTTTCAAAGGTATGGGTTAAATCCAGAGATAAAAACTTGTAATGCACAATAACAGATAAGTATTATTAATACTACCTAAAAGTTTCCATCATTAGTTTTTATCCACTACAGTATTTACACACAAACGCTGGCATTTGAGAAGGATGTGAACGTGTGAATCATTCACCAACCCTTTCCACTAGTTTTACTGAACTATAAACAGAAGACTAACAAATGGCAAAAGCGACAAAAAGAAATATATTGTGCATGTATCATATTTATTCCACTTTCCATTTTTATTGGTACATGATAAAATCCTGTTTTATTCAGAATGACAAGTAGAGGTGGTTTGAAAACAGGTACAGTTCATTACTGCATATTGACATGTTACAGAATATTAAGCTTCCATAATTGATGAAAAGTAAACAAACCGGTAAAATTAGCAAAACATTATTGTTTTGTTTAAAATCATTAAAGATTTCAGTTTGGCTCTGAATAAGAACCTAACAATTCAGATTTACTTTGATAAAAAAAGGTAGGAACAGCAAAACCTGGACTATTTAGCTGCATAACATCCATCAAATCATCCAGACAGGCACTTTCAAGACATAATTCTTCTAAATCAATAAACTAAGTGGCTCATTTGGTGGCCTCATACAGCTGGAGGTCCAGTTTGACCGACACTTCTCCAGTGGGTACTTCATGCAGGAGCAGGCGACGTGTTGCTGCTCCTTTAATCTCCATGTCTTTCTTTATAGTTGCCACGGGAACTTCAGTACGACCCAGAAAGTCTGAAGAGAAAAAAATCTCTCATTTCAGTGTGATGCTTTAGACTTTTTCATTCTCTTTTTCCAAATACATCTCTGGAAAATTAATATTTGAGGCTAATTTATCAGCAGGAAGCATGCTTGATCCATTTCTTCAGTAGAAAAAAACAATGACTGAAAGAGAGTTATACACAATAATGATCCTTCCAGTGCTATCAGACTGAGATACAACATATTTGCTTTTTGCATTAACTTGGAATCACAGCTTACCTGAGCTTACTGTACTGAAATTAATGTTATACATCTATAAGAGGTTTATTAACCTCTTATAGATGTATAGTTTATTACAGTGTTAATTTTTTTCAAAAACCAAATTCATAACTTTTAATCTATTTTTTGGTCTACATTTCTAGTAAACAGTTAACATAACAGTCCTAAATTAAAACTCACTGATATTAGTGAGCTATTATACATTTATGACCACAAAGATAGCAGTTCATTAACTTTTATCATAACTTAATGAGTTATCACCGGGTTTAACTGGCATTCTTTTATGGTAAAATCCAATCCAGGGCTCACATATTAGAAACAAAGCATCACCCAAAGCTAAAAATGTCTTTCTATAAGAAAGAAAATTAAAATGTGGCTTTTCTCCCTTTCAATTTCTAAATCCATTAATATTCTCTATCTTATGGAGATGCAACATAAATTATGCAACATACCAGTGACTTCCCTAAAAATATATACAAACACATTATATTATAAAGTTAATTAATCATACAAATATTTCAATAGATGTCTTTTTTAAAGAGATGAAATCATTCAATTCATATTTTTACATTCCTTTTTCCTAGTTACGTTATTGGACATTTAATGATTAATTTGTGTATTGTAGAAATTAATGGTATAGCTAATATTTGAATCGTTTATTAGATAAAGAATAAATAGACACTTTTTATATCAAACACTTTAATGGGATGGTTAAATATATGTATTTAAAGATTTATGTTGTCCCTATATAGACCTCAGAAATCAAATAAAGTATGGTTTTTAATCTACTTTTTGATAATATTCACATTTTGCACAGCTGCTGATATTTGAGGTAAATCGAAATAATTAACAATAGTTTTCATGTCTAACTGACCGTCTGGTGAGAACTGGTCCTTCTCAAACACAGTGATACTCAGGACGTCCTGGTAAATGTCTTTGATGAAAAACTGACAGTTGAAGTTCCACTTTGGGTTCAGAGTGTCCAGGACCGGCCGTGACGTGTAGCACTGAGCCCCCATGGTCAGCTCGCAGTATGGATTGCTCTTACCTAAAGAAAGAGGAGGATTTCAGTTTCCCTTAACGTTGAGTATTCACTGAGGAGAAGTAATTGTGCCTTTGGGAGTCACCATTGGGCTTGCAGGCTCTTAGCTCCTGAGCTTCGATGACTGTAACCAGCAGGCGACCAATTCCACTGGTCTTTAGGGAGCGAGCTGAAATAAACAGAAAATGATTGTTCAAACATGTTTTATATAATCTGATTCGGATTTACATTTTGGAAATATTAAGTCTAACACATGTTTTTTTTTTTTTAAGAATTGCAATTTTTGTGCAAAGAAAAATGTAAATGTCATAATTTTATTTGTATTAACTAACAGGCCTACTAGGAATGTTCTGTTGTTTCAACTTCAAATGGGGAGAGAAAATATTTCTCCCAGGGCCTTGCCTTAAGCTGTTGCAGGTGACTGACCTTCACCCACAATAAAACTGCAAAAGGAACTGTCATGCTTCATCATGTGTAAACTTCTGCCCCCTTCTGACAACTTCTGAGCCCTCCTGTTACTCCTATGAAGTCTGACAATAAAGGCAGGAGACAGAGGTCCCAGCAAAGTTGACCACAGACATTTCAGGGAGTGAAAATTCTCTGTCTATCTTCTCTCCTCTTCTGCAGAAAAGTAACTTTATTATCATTTAAACCTAACACTTTTAATACGTCAACCTTTACTGGTTCTGAAAGGTGATTTATAATATTCCTTCCCTTCAAAATCCTGTCCAGTATCGGGGCAAAACAGATGTTTGGTGATATTTACTCATAAGGAAATATACAACATCTCACAAAGATTTTCATATTAATTTTACATCCACAGTCATTCAAATATTGCTATATATTGATTTTACACAGCGGATTTTTTAAACAAAATTCCATTTTTTTGTAGTCTTAACTGCATCTTTGCTCCAACTTGTCACCTATTTACTGTATCCAACTTCCCTGTTCCAGCTATATAAGAGCATTCACGTAGCATGATGCTGCTATCACCATGTTTCACCATGAATATGATCAAGTGTGATGTTTTTTTTTTTTTAAACCTTTAACCAAACATTGTCTTTTCTTTTTAGGCTATAATGTTACATTTGGCCAGAACCTACTCTACCCCCCTACAGTAGATATGAGAAACTGCAAAAAAAAACAAAAACAACCTATTCTTCAAAACCAACCTATTCTTGAGACTACAATCTGCGCACCAACTATAGCTTCCAAGTTGTATTATTCACCAAAACAGTGACATTTATTAAGCCTGAGGAAGGGTGTGTGGCCTGGAAGGTAACTGTTTTGGTGAATTTACCAGCTTGGGAGCAATAATTGTTATGGTTCTCCCCTTGTGTACCTCTGTTGAGTTTCTTTTCAAAGTTTTCAGTTCCATTTTGATTTATGTTTTCCTGAGTTTTCTTGTTCATTGGTTTCTTTTCCATTTTGTGTTCTTTTTATGCAGCTCTGTATTTCTTGAATTGCTCTCTGTTGCCCCATTTCCTTTCCCTTCGGCTCCCTTCTAGTTAGTTCTATTCACACCTGATCCATATCAGCTCATTAGCCCATCCTTTGTTCTGTTCTCCATATATATATATATATATATATATATACACACGCACCACCTTTGCACTTCCTAATTGCTGGTTTCTTGTTGTTTTGTAGCTCTTTTCTTACCTGGCTCCCCATGTGTCTTCTCCCCATCAGGGGACCCACATGGTGCTTTATCTGTATTTTGTTCTTGGATTTTTGTTTCTCTTACCCTTTTTTCCTTATCTCAGCAAGACTCATCTCTGCCTCCTCCCGTCTGCATTTGGGTCCTCAACCAACCTCCACCAAACCTTGATAATAATTAGTGTTCGGATCCATTTTTTTCCTTTTTAGCTTGCATGCCTTTGTGTTCAAGCACCTAGTCTCAACTGTTTCAGGACGTGCATGATTTTGCACCTTTTTCCAATAAAGGCCACTAAAAGTAATGTGTTTTATGTTTGTGTGTTTTGAATATTTTGAGTCATGTTTTTACATTGGATTTTCCTAGGTTTTCAGTGTGCTGTTGTCATTTTTTTAAGCAATAGGCAGGATGCTGTTTGCTGATGAAACACTTCTAAACGTATCAAGAGTCAACATACGAGCTGCATATCAATTCATCCCTTATTCATACAGCTACTTCAGTATTTATGTGAAAATGAATGCTTTCTCAAGACTCTCGAAATCCCGATCAAATGATACATGCAGATTAATTATAAATACACTAATCATACCTTGATATGCCTTCTCTCTCTTTTTCTTCTCAGTCTCTATGAAATGCTCAGAGGCTGCCTTGATTTTTTGGACCCATGCTGTCCTACCAAAACAAAGGAGACATATGATTGCTCTGTGTACGATTGTATCTGTAGATCACAGTGCCATTGGGTACATCATCTGTGCATGAGTACCTCTCACTTAAACTCTCTGTTTTCAGGGTGTAGACACGGTCGATGTGTGAGACATGAAAGAGTGGCTCTTCACTGGACGGATCTGCTGGCATTTTCACCAAAACCTCGTTGAGGAACAGTGGCTAGAGGGACACACAATGAAACCAAAACAAAGATTTAAAATAAACCCTAAATAGTTACACTCAGAAGTTTTTCTTTACCGTCTTGTAGATCTTCAGCTGTATATTGGTTTTGGGGCTGAACAGTTTTTCTGAACCCGAGGAGGAGAAAGGCTTGCCACTGTGTGTGAGGAGGAGGAAATCATTGAAGAGGAAAGCCCAGAGTTCTCTGCTGCTTTTGGTTTTGAACAGCCGGCCACTGTGGAGCAGCTTGCGGGGCCCAAGGCAGTTAGTCAAAGAGCTGAAGACCAGGTGCTGCGAAAAAGTTAGAAAGAAACTTCAAACTTGGTTGATAAAGACATGCATTTTTAATGCTCGACGTGTCTGAATGTATTTACCTCGATAGGCCCCTCGCACTGAATGTGGTTCTGTATCCATTCCAGACGTTCTGCGTTTTCCTTCTCTCTGACTGCCTCGTTGACCTGAGAGCACAGCTCCTCGGCCCGCTCCAGAGCTTCCTGCAGGGGCCGATGGTCGTCATGATCATCTGGGGTGTGCTCGAGGATCTGAGGAACAGGAGGAGAAGGTTACCACAGAAAGCAAAGGAGAAAGGGGAGATATGATGAGAAATAAGATATTTGAAATACATTCTTTATGAGCAGAGGGTAGCGAGTGAGCCTCTGCATCGGCTTTAGGAGAAAGCTGGACAGTGGCATTCCTTTGCAGCGGTAGTTTGTGGCAACCTTCTGCTCAAAATAAAGCAAAATATTAGAGAAAGAAGCTCTTTTTAGATAATATTTTTCATTAGTTGTTCATAATTTTTATTTATACCTTGAGAAAATCTTTAAATTCAGGCTGATTGTGGGTTTTTGTCTGCAGGAGGGCTGCAGCATTGAGCTGACAGGAGCAGAAGCGAATATATGGCTGCATGTGAGCGAGCTCTGAGGATAGCAGGTCTCCTATCAGCTGAACCGGCATGTTCTCTCCTCCTGTTCGTTTGCGCTCACGAAGAGCACTGACACAAACAAAGGAAGAGGATATCATACAGCAAGAGATTTTTTGTCCTGAAATGCAACGCCTTGCGAAATGTATCATATCCTTGAAGTTTTACATTTTCAGCATCGCTGTGTAAAAAAACCTTCAAAAATTTACCATTTTGCTATAAAAATCTGAAAAGATTCTAGATAGTATTCAGGTTTTGACTTGGACTAGGCCACTCCAAAACATGAAAAAAACAATCATTGCAGTCAGATTGCAATGACGGCTGCTTATTACAGCTTTTTGTATGTGCTTTGTGCAATTCTTTCTCTCCTTGCAGCTTCTCTGTTTAAAAAAAATAAATAAATAAATAAATCGCATGCTTGGCAAAGACGCTGCCATTGCAGTCACAGATTCATGTAGGTAAAAAATAAAAAAATTTTGTTCCATGCATTTACAATGTTGCACATATGGTTTGTGTTTTTTTCTACTGGGGTTGGCATGTTTTCCCCACCGATTAATGTGTTCCTCTCACTGACTAAAAACATGACCAAACATTGATCGGTTCTTTTAAATGTGCCTCCATCCTTTGCCCTAATACAGATGAAGATAAGCACTGGCCTTCCTGTGATCCTGCAAGGAACCCTAACCCACGGAATGGAATGCCAAAACTTATCCTGAAGACAGATTCTGCCTCCTGAGCTGCTCATCTCTAAAGCTCCTTCAGAGCAACTTCAATCTCAATAAAATACATTTCAATTTAATTGTTACTTGAATAAAACTAAAATATTTTTAGACACCATATATGCATACTTTGTAAATGCACTGTACTTATGAAAGATTAATTAAAAACACAAATATTTGTAGATGAAAACACTCCTGTCATTGACGTTTGTATTATGAAGTTCAAATTACGGAAGAAGTTAAATAATTATGTGTATTTCTGATGCTTTAATAGTCAATTTTCTACTTTATGTTTTCTTATTTCAATGGTTTTCAAATTGTTAGGGCGTCAACCTTGAAGAATCGCAATTAATTTTAAATATCTCACATTAAAACAGTTTTAAAACTTGTAGTTGAAAGAACTTTAGAACTGACAAGCCTTATATTCTGCAAATACTTTTTATCATCACATGTAAATCTATATCCCTTAAAGTCAATTTTTGCCAAACCAGTTGGAGCCTTGGGACTATGTCAGAACAGAGCCTGCTGAATAATATCCATCAACTCAATATCAATAGGCATGGTTTATAAAACAAACCAACAAAAAAATCCTTTCCCAAACTGTTGAAGATGTTGCGTGGTCTGACACCAGGGTTGTGGAGTAAACTGCAACGCTGATAGTGGGACAGAACACTCTCATCCAGAAGATGCGAATCCTGCAAAGTCAGTGACCTAATGCAATTGTTTCCTTTTTACTGATCTGACTCGATCACTCCATTAAAATGGCCATGCATAAACAGAAAACTAAACTGAAACCAAACATGGAAAAGTTCAAAGGCTATGAATACTTTTGCAAGACTCTGAGTTTGTCACATATGGTACCTACCTAAGCAATCTGGTGTTGCACATGATCAACTCCCTCCAGTTAACAAAGATCGCTGCCATCTCAGCTTCTGTCAGGCGACCTGACTCAGACATCGGTTTGTAAAACACCTGAGCACCAGTAAACAGTCGAAAAAGAAAATTAAGCAAACATAGCTCCATAAATTTGGTTCATTTAATAAAATTATTTAGGTTGTACCTCTAGAACCAGCTCCAAATCCTCCACATAGGTCTCTTCGGTGTGAATGAGCTCATGTATATAACCCTGTCTTTTCCTCTCCTGAGGACTCATTGTATCCAGCGTGTACAGGTCTGCACACCCTGTTCCACACATACCCGCACAAAAACATGCATATGTAGAGACAGACAGGGTCACACGGAAGCACAAGAGAGCAGTATGGTGCACGACACCCAACAAATCATATAAAGACAATTCAAAAGTTCACATGTCAAAAACTTCTTTTATTTGTCAGTCTTTTAATGTTATATTTACAATTAATGCACTGATTGAGGCACATTGTAGTTGCAGTGCATGAACAGAACACAACAAGCGATGCTAACGACGCTGCTACCAATAGACTGCATTAAATCAAAGTGGAGCACACCGGAGCGCCCTCTCCACATGATTGCATAGGTGTAAATGAAAATGTGGCAGGAAAAAATAAAGCTGTGGAAGACTCAGCAGGTAGTTCAGGTCTTTGAGGTTTAATCTTGACATATTCATGTTAATGTCAGCAGCACTGCTGTTCTCCTACTATCTATAATACTGTTTTACACGTAAACAAAACATTTGTTTGTTTTTGTTTTTTTACTTTTTTTTTTTTGCTGGTGATCTCACAGTTCAGAACTATTTTTTTCATATAACAAATCAGTAATGGACATAAGAGTGCCTAAGAACCGAGTAATTAAAAGTAGTTTTAATCAAAGCAATGTGTTAGCGAGCATCGATCGGGGCGATTTAAGCAACAGTGAATCTTTTCATTGGTCCATTTCAGTAATGTTTAGTGTTATTAGTGCAAGATTGAGAGACCCTATTAAAATACTATTATACCATTTATTCATAAGCCTATTATAAAAAACTAAATTACCTAAATGTTATATTCAATACATTATAACTACTATCTTCCAGTCCCTTTAAGAGTTAGGCCCAAAATCCCCCACACGTTTGATTCTTTTAATGGTAATTTACATCTTACAGTTTATGACTAGAATGACATAAAACAAGTGACTGCACTGACTTATATATTATCATTCATCTACCCTCTGTATGATTTATATACCTTAAATAGATAAACTAATTAAAACACAACCATCTTCCATGCTTCTTTTACTCTATATAAGCAAATCGCCCTTTAAGGAATCACTGAGCTTATATATAAAAAAAACTATATTACAATTATTATATTGAATATTTTTAAAGGAGCAAATAATATCTAACTTTGATTGAAGAAGAAGGATCCTACACAAAATGTAAATAAGTTAAAAGTGGATTTTCTTTTACATTAATTGATTAAATAATGACATCATCCTTCTGCAGAGGAAGATTAATTTAATTTAAGATATTTTATAACTATGAGAATGTTTAACTAGTTTGATAATGACTGTGGAAGATGATGTAAGAATTGCTTAATTGCAGTAATGGCAAATAAAGATCACAAAAATAATTGAATATGTTTCTGTTTTAACAAAAAACAGAAAAATACACTCTTAAATTTGTATTAAAAATCTTCAATATAAATCAATAGTTGTTTTGGCACTTGCTTATATCATTTCCAGATAATAACAAATTGCTTAACTAATAAAAAAACTCCCAATTTATGACAGTTTAGTATGGAGGATTTTAGGCCTAACATTTCTTATTAAAACTATAGTGTCCATATTTCTGTGTTAAAGGTAGAAAGCCTCCCCCCTGCTTGTGTCTAGCTGCCTCCACCTCAGTCCCCTGGTTAATAAGTGGAGGGAAACAAGAAAAAGTCAGGAGTAGGGCAAGAAATCAATCCCAAAAAGAAAGAGAAAAACTAGAGTGAAAAAGGTAAGAACCAAAAAAATAAAAACAGGGAAGAATCAGACACCACAGTCCCAAATAATTCAAGAGGAAAGCGAGGAGCTGGACTGTTCTTTTTCTCGCTTGGTGCCGGGCTTCCTGTTGCCACAGGGCTACTCGCTCAGACAGGGGTGGAGGAGGGTGGATAAGACAGAGGAAGAGGGGAGGAAGAAGAGAGGAAAACCAGCACTACAGTCCTACAGAAGGAGAAAAAAAATGGATGGAGTGGAGGAGGCGGGAGATGAGTGAGATGGAAAAAAAGGGGAAGAGAGACAGCAGACGGTTAATATTGTTTTAATATTAATGTAGGACTCTGACATGCACATGCATTAATAATGCATTTCTGGAAATGTAAATGTTACTAATAATCATGAGCTGCAGCGTGTGTGTGTGTAAGTGCTGGGGGTGTGTGTATGCGTCAGAACGTGTTTGTTACAGTGAAAATTTCATTGTTTTTAGCAAGCGTGGCTTTGACAAGCTCAGCCTAATTAAATGTCCACCATGTTCGCTCTTGTTAACAAGAAATCTGCTGCGCTGGGTGAAAAACATCCTATGAATACTAATTTTGAACACACTCCTCTTATTTAACCGATGTTTGAAATCAGCTACAGCACCTTACAAAATTCTTCACATCCCTTGGACATTTTTCAGATTCTGTCACAGAAACGAGCATGCTTTTTAATTCATAGTACATAAATATGATAATGATTCAAAGTTTTAGATGGACCTAGAAGCCACACTTCATTTGCCTTCAATTTCATAATCATGCAGTACGGTGGGGAAAATAGTTATTTGATACTCTGCAATTTTGCAATTTTTCCTGGCTTTCCAAACCCTTTCATCCTCCACTCAAAATTTGTATTTATTGCACTTGTTTGAATATTCATTCAGACTCCAACCTCTCCACAACAGGCAAAAACTTTTGCTGCAATTATTAGAAAACGGAGAAAACTCAAGAGCACTGCCGATCTGCGTTGCCTGAGATATGCAAGATCTCAATCCATTAGGTGTTAATAATCACAAGGAAAGATGAGGGATCAGCACTGAACTACAGGGTAATACCAGGTCCATGAAAGCTACACTAAAGTCTCAAACACCATTAGTAGCACACCACGCTAACCCTGCTGCATGGCCAAGGTCCTCCTTCTTAGGCCAGTGTATGTCCAGACACGTCTCAAGTTGCTACAACATCTTGGATGATCCAGAGGCAGCATGGGAAAAAGGTTATGTGGTCAGATGACTCTCACAAAGACTTTCCTGCTACATTTATCTCCTTCCCTGTTTGGTGGAAGAAGGATGAGCATGCTTGCCTGCTGCATCCAAGAAACTTTTTTTTATTCCACAAAAAATGTTTGTAAAGCAAAACCCCACATAGGCTTGATATTTCAATTACATAAAAACATTTCGTATGATTATTTCTCATTTCCCTTACAGTATTGGGAAAGTAGCCCCACCTTCCTTGCAAGCCAAATGATTTTGCGCAACTTCTTCAAAGTTTATTAAACTGCTTGGTTAAATTACTGTGCATTAGGCTGGATGAGCTTCAAGGAGAGACAAAAAAAATACAGAGCCTCAATGTTCCCCTCTGCCCTGGGTAAGCAGTGGCTGCATCACTTTTACATGGAAACCGTACTCTCAGCTCAAGCTGCAGGTACGGCTTAGAAACGTTAAACAAAACGTATCAAATGCCTGTTTTCCCCAGTGTACTCTGTGTTAGCCAATGATATAAAATCAAGATAAAATGCATCAAGGTTTGTGGTTTTATGTCTCAAAACAGAAAAGTTGAAGTTTTAAATTTTAAGTTTAAGAAGTTTTCAGTATGTTTCATAAGGTGCTGTATGAGTGATTCAGTGCTGAGAGTCCAAAGGAAATCGAATCACCTCATCAATTAAACTTCCAGAAATGTGAGGGAAGTGATTAAATGCGACAGGTTAATTGGAGATTTGACAGTGATTCTTCCACTTGATTGTTATACTCCTTTAAGAGTCTTAAATTAAGGGAATTACATTCCACTTTTTTGCTCAGAGATTGCTGAATTTGAAGATTTCAGGAGAACAGACTCTTGGCAAAAAAGTTTACAATGAATATGTTGTATTATTCCTTTCAATGATCTTTAAAGTGGGATAACTTAAAAGGCATGATCCTCCCTGTCCAATTTATAACTGCAAAGGTTAGAAAATCTCTCTAATTTCTGCAGTGGAAAATGTTTGGGATCAGACCTTTTAAGTTCAGGAGAAAACCACCTCCCTCTGTGACTGAAAAAAACTGGCTTACCAGACACATCTCCAGGCTCTGATATGGATGAGGAATTTAATGTACCTGGATCGAATTGGTAAGAAAGCAAAACTTTGTATATGTTTTGTGAATTTGCAGCTTTATTTTCTCCTTAGCATATGTTCTTCAGCTGCTGGTGTGAATTACTGCTTTTCTATTAAATGCTGCAACCAAAAAACACTTTTTCCAATAGAATGGTTAAAAAAAAAAAAAGCTTTACTCACATTGTTGGCTGGGGTCTGACTCTGTTGTCATTTTAACATAATTGGTGGGCAGCAAGCCTGTGACCCCATTGACTTCGCCTTTCCACCAGTCGGGGTTGGTCTTGTCCAGGATGTTGATGAGCTGCCCCTTGGAGAAGCTCAGCTCGTCCTGATTAGCAGCAGCGTAGTCGTACATTGCGATAACTTGGCACACTGATGCAAGCAGGGGGGAGAAACAGAGTTAATGTACGTCAGTTTTCAGGGAGGAGATGAGGTTTAGCTTTCAGTGTTATTTTGTCTGTTAGTAGTTAGTAAGTTCATTCAGACTGCAGAGATGAGAAGCTGCAAATCAGTTTTGGTGTGTTCTTCTAAACTTGGCATGCAAAAATGTTCACATTTTGAACTTTTTCACATTTTTTGCAGCAAAGTGTAAGGAAAATGAAAAACAAATAAATAAATAAAAAGTGTGACAAGGTTTTGTATTCAGTCCCCTTAGTCTACACTTAGTTGGCTGCTTTTCTGAGTAACGTTCCTCTTGCCCAGGTGTTCAATATTCATTCCTTTTGGGAACGATTGAAAGGAGCTATAAGATGTTTCACAACTTTCACCCTGAATTGTCTTGGATGTTTCCTCTGTCTTTGAGATTTTTGTTTACTAAAGTTGAACTTGCAATAGTGTGCTGCAGGTATTTCACATTAAAATCCTCTAAAATGCATTGCTGGATGTGACTGCAAAACTAAGGTTTAATTATTAGACATGTTAGAATACATGCTGCTGTTCACAATGTTAAAAAATAGAATATAAAATCCCTTTATAAAAAAAAGCAATACTAAAACCCTGAATAATGACTGAACATTATCTGTGGGTTCAGACTGTGTCACCTGGCAGGGGGGAGAGGGAGGTCTTGGTACTGGATGGTCCCAGGAGCTTAACATGGGAGGAATGAAACCATCCTTTCTGTCTCTTTTTGCCTCGAGCCTGGAGGGGTAAATGAAAATTAACCAGGAGTCCATTATTCACCAGCTTCGAATGTTTTAGATTCTAAATGTAAAAAAAAAGTCAATTATTTATTTATTTATATTTTCCTACACATTGCCCGAAAAAAAAAATCAGGCCACATTTTTAGAATATTTTTCTAACAGCTTTATAAACAGTTATTGTCATCTGCGCAGACAATTTATATTAAAAATGAGAGTTTTTTTTTTATATGTACTGTACATATCGCAAATCACAACATGGCATGTCTTGCTTAAGTTGGCTTCTATTTCAGTAGGGTTCAAAGGCCTGTTTTACTGCTTTTCTATTTCAAGATATTTAAGAGGCTAGTGTGTCTCAAATCAGCCTTTGCTCAGTTTATGATCTCTTAAAACTTCACTCTAATTGTGAAAACAAAACAAGTAAAAATATGTAATGTCATCGCGGTCACTGCGTGAAATAAACCAGATTTTAAATGACCTAAATATAATACATAAACGTGCCAACTGCAAAGGACTCAGAATGTCATCTGTAAAAAAAATAAAAAAAAGCTATGAATTATTGAAAACTGGGCCATTTATCCTTCAGAAATTAAAAAAGGAATTATTTCTTTAAACGTAAATACATTTTTCTCCCTTTACTTATTTTTGCCATACAGAGCTTGAAAATGATAAAAACAAGAATTTTTACAGAGTTACTAAGGTTTAATATTAAAAATAAATACTGAGAAAAATGCTTGCCAGAAATATAGTCCTAATAGTAAATAACTTTACTGAAATTACCCAGCAGTAAACAAAGGTATAGCATCCGTACACAAACAGCCATGTTAAGGCCTGTTTTTTCATAAACCTATGAGCAGCTTTAATTTTACCTGCTTCTCAGTGAAAACAAAGCCAGTTACAATGCTAGCTGTGCTCGTGTTTAAATGAATTTTCTTTTGTAAAGCAAATTTTAAAAAAGTCTCAGAATTACTGAATATAACCATAATTTATATGGCTTCATATCTAAAAATAAAATAGATTTCTTGCCCCATTGGTCTGTTTTGTCTGACCTGCAGTTCCCCGAGCCACCACCCAGTGGAGTTTTTGGCTCTGACCACTATCAGTTGTCCTGGAGACAGAGTCAGCTGATAAGGGATGGGGGCCTCCATGGCAGTGACAGCCTGGACAATCTCTGTTATCAATCAGAAATACCCAACAATGAATTCAGATTGACATTCATCCACCTGACTTTGAATTTAAAGGACAGGGGTGCAGGGCTGCTTTCCTCACCAGGTTTCTTGCTTGAAATTCCTGGTCTTGATGCCTAAAATTAGTCAGCAAAGGTAAAGTAACACTATTATTAATTAATATTATATGAATATATAGTTAATGACACAAATGTCTACACTGTACACCGTGTTTTAGTCATCAATACATTGCTTACAGAGAAAATGTATTTAAAACTCTGATTGTTTAAATATTTTCTCACATTAAGATACACATTTTATGATGTATATTAGGATTTTGTGAAAATCACCACAAATAATATAATTTTGAGATCCAAGATAAGTGATCACTTTTTTTTTTTTTTTGAGTGGCTTTTATTTTGAAAGTCACCGGACAGGAAATAGCTGAAGAGAGGAGGAGAATTGACATGCAGCACAGGTTCCCTATTAAGGGTTGAAATATTACTTATTTTTTAGCATAAAAGAACTAATTAAAAGTGTGCTGTGGAGTTATTTCTAGACCCTTTTACTCTAATACCACTTAAAGGAATAGTACACCCAAAACATGATTAGCCTTCATTTTCTGCTCACCCCCATGCTGAACAACACTATGGAGTACTTTTTTGATATCTCAAATGCATCTGGAGATCTGGGAGGCTTCTTGCTGTCTGCTGACATTCAAATAATGGAGGTCCATAGCGCCCGAGACAGAAAGGTCCATAAAAGTCCACAAAAAACGTGTCAATATTCCTCCATACTGCTCGTCCAATGTATTCTAAGTGTCCTGAGTGGGTAGCATCCAGAATTTACTCGAAACGAAGTCATTTAGAATGTTTTTAGAGCATAAACAGTAGTGTATAGGATTTCTTGAAAGCGCGCGCCCGCACGTTGACGACGCTACGGAAGCCGGCAGACCAACCAGATGAAAGTGCGCATTCAGCGTCTGCTCTGCCGATAATGCAAGCGTAGAAGAAGAAATGTGCTGTTTACCTGTGCAAAGAAAGAAAAACGAAAGAAAAATATCTGAGGACTTCAGTGTTGAGGAAGAGCATGAGTTCTTTGCCGAGCTGAATGCGCACTTTCATCCGGTTTGGTCTGCCGCGGTTTCCGTAGCGTCGTGAACGTGCGGGCGCGCGCTTTCAGTGTTGGGATCCTCAGGCCTGCCCACCAGAGGGCGCCGAGGATCCTCTTCTGCTCTTTGTTTTTCCCTTAGGTTTGGAGTTACTGTGGGGATCTGGAGATTACCCTCTGTCTCCAGCAGGATGCGCTGTGGGTCTTCTGGAGCTGGAACTTTCCTGCACACCTGTTCCTAATCCTCTCATTAGAAGACCTTCTCCTTTATAAGCTCCTGCCTGACCTTGATCCCACGCCGCAGTGTTGATCTTAGTTGGTTAGCTTCCTGAACCTTCTGCTATAGACTGAGTCTTGGTTGTTCCTAGGTTGAGACCAGATTCTAACTCTTCCTTGTTTCTGCCACACAGGAATCCTGTCTCCTCGTGAAGCTCTGGACAAGCTTAACCTCCTGTCTCCTCGTGAAGCTCTAGATGAGCTTAACCTCCTGTCTCCTCGTGAAGCTCTGGATGAGCTTAACCTCCTGTCTCCTCGTGAAGCTCTGGATGAGCTTAACCTCCTGTCTCCTCGTGAAGCTCTGGATGAGCTTAACCTCCTGTCTCCTCGTGAAGCTCTGGATGAGCTTAACCTCCTGTCTCCTCGTGAAGCTCTGGAAGAGCAGTCTCTCTGGCAACTTGTCTCTGGCCTGCAGCTCTGGGAGAGCTGCATCACAAGAAACCAGTCTCAAGCCAGAAGCTCTAGGAGAGTCTAACCAGCTAATCTGCCCTGGTGAGCCAACCCGAAGATTCCTACGTGGATGAAGCCTGATGACTTCTGTGTGGAGTTTCCCTAGAGGTTCCCACGTGGATTTTCCCCTGTTGTTTCCCTGCAGTGAGCTGGAAGCTCAAATCCAGCCATCTCCCTTTCCCCGCACAGACCCCAGCGAATCAGTCCCCTGCCTGAACTGTTATTCATATGCTTGAGCCTTTAATAAACTCTTTGGACTTTTACCAGTGCCTCAGTGTATGTTCTGCATCTTGGGCTAACTCTCTGTGACACCCATCATGACATTCAGGAAATCCTATACACTACTATTTATGCTCTAAAAACATTCTAAATGACTTTGTTTCGAGTAAATTCTGGATGCTACCCACTCAGGACACTTGGAATACATTGGACGAGCAGTATGGAGGAATATTGACACGTTTTTTGTGGACTTTTATGGACCTTTCTGTCTCGGGCACCATAGACCTCCATTATTTGAATGTCAGCAGACAGCAAGAAGCCTCCCAGATCTCCAGATGCATTTGAGATATCAAAAAAGTACTCCAGGGTGTTGTTCAGCATGGGGGTGAGTAGAAAATGAAGGCTAATCATGTTTTGGGTGTAGTATTCCTTTAATAAAATAGAGAGAAATTTCCTTCAGAAGTTATTTAATTAGACAATAGAGCCTGCCTGTGCATTAATGGATATAGAATCCGTGCAGATAGCCTCAGGAGTTAGTTAGAGAACATTGATAAAGAGCTTCATGATGACCAGGCAGCATAGCAGGTAGATGAAGGAAAAAGGTAAAGAAGATGATCTGTTAAGGTATGACCAAAGATAATTCCTCATTTTACCAATCCAGTAAATATTTGTCATATGTTTTAAGTTGGATTTCTCGCTGAGAAGGATATAAACCATATGGGATTGGAAATATTGACCCAGAAGTTCTCACCTCTGGCTCAACAGGCCGTACGTAGTTGGAGGGAAACAGTCCCGTCTGGTCACCGATGCATCCTCTCCACCACTCTCCTTCTCTTTCAGTCACCATGATGACGTCCCCTTCATCAAATGTCAAGTCTCCTGTCTCTGGGCTCTCATACGTGTACAGAGCCACATACTCTGGGTCAGACAGACAAAATTCAGGACAAACTATGAAGAGCCTGTGTGAAGTTACCAGTTGGAGAGCTTTTCCAACTTTAAAGAGTGATCGTTTCAGAATGATGAGTGATACTGACCCTCTAGCTGAGCAGAATCACTTAAGTCTGTTGTTTCTGCTCTAAAACCAGAACAACAAATATTATAGTCCATTTACCCATTAAATTTCAAGGCAACTTCTGTGAATGTTATCGTTCAAGTGCGTCTTCTTACTCTGCGTTGCCGCCTGGCTCTGGAGTGACGTAGCTTTTGGGGAACCATCCTCGCGTCCCGTTGAGCTGTCCCAACCACCACTCGTCCCTTTGCTGTAGGACACTGATGAAGTCTCCCTGAGAGAAGTTCAGCATGGCACCACTTATGTCCCAGGAAGGATTAAGATGATTTTCTGAAGTGGGGGACCATGAAGAGACGGCTCGAACAGTGAGAGGAACTGAGGACTAGGGAGAAAATACAGGAGCCAAGAGAGATTTTAAAGGGATGTGCTGTAACAATTTCTCTTTTTAACTGCATTTACATGTGTTATTATTGGTGTATTATTAACTCCACTAATAATCACATACATCTATTAAGCAGTTTGCAAAGCGCCATGACAGTCTGCAATCTTTAAGGTACATACGCTTGCAAGGTAAAAAAAAAGTACTAAGGTAAGGAATAACAATGCGTTTCCCTTAAATGGTAGTTCAGTGTGAATGAGAGGCGGCAGTGAAGATCCTTTGGAGACGCTAACCCAAAAACTGAAAGGCTGCACTGCTGCAGAACAATGCAGGACCATTGTATATATGGTATAAATGAACAAAGTGTGGGAAGGTATCATAAAAAGTTACAGCATGAATGGAATTATTTATATTTCCTTATTTATTAACTCCACATCTTAAAAAATAAATTGATTCAAGAATTTCCAGAAAACCTCTTAAGCAACAAGGCAAACATTTCTTACGCCAATTTAGAGCTGTTAATCTGTGAGCGCAGGGCGCACTGGATGTGACCGTAAGGTTATGTTCTTTACTGCCCCAGTTATTATAAGCAGCTATGTGTACTGTCGCTACCCGATCCGCCCAGGGAAGCACGATCCGTTCTGCGCATGCACAATCTGCTCATTTGTTCATCCAGATATACATCCGGGTCGATTTTATTTTGTTAAAGACACTTAAATGACGTTTTTCCCTCTATAAACTATAATGTGTTATAGGTTAATAATGTAATTCCTGAGAAAATGAATGCCTTAAAATCCTTTCTGTTTCATCACTCGTCTGTCCCTGATTTGCATCGGAAATGGGATCCTACGCTACTTCGGGCGGCTAACTTTTTTAAAGATGTGTATTAGCATTCTTTAGTGAGTTAAGGATAGAAATAAGTAATTTTAATACCGTAATTAAAGTATTTATGGACACACGGATGTATATCTGTTCGCGTATGTGCAGGAGAGATCGTGCTTACAGGACGGATTGGGTCGTGACATGTACACTTTGTGATCACAGGTCGGGTGACACGTTGTTATATATGGGTCTGTGCGGCCCCAGCAGGTTTTAAATGGGGATAATTGCGGGCAATTGATTGGGTCTTGGTTCTGAACTCTATGGGTGTGAAAGGATAGTTTTGAAAAATCAGTTTTCATGTTTCTCTTTGACGAGATAGTGAATTATAGCAGTAGATCTTGCAAACATATGCCAATATTATTGGTACAGAATTGCAGTTTTATGGGTTTAGTAGCTTTGAAAGGCACAGACAAATTAAACAGACTAATTCGTATGAAGTATTGAAGCGCAATCTCGACATTTTTTTTAACAATCTGAGTTAGTTATGAAGCTGTAGCTATGTTCAAACTGCTACAACGTAACTGTAACTTCGAAAAGTAAAGCTTCTGCACATATTTGTGTCACAGCAAATGCTATATAAATATATATACATCTGCATATATATAATATGCAGATGCTTTTTTCACTTTGATAAAGATTCACTCACTTTGGCATGCTGAACACTCAGATTCTAAGATGTCAGGGGAGTTGGAATATTTTCTTTTCATTTCAGGTAATATTTATTTTACCACCTCGGAGACTTCTATGTGATCATTAATAATTAAAGAAGGAAAAAACAAGATGATTCACTTTTTCCGTGGTATATCTCTATCCGAGGCGCATCTTATATACTTAGGAAGTTTAAATACATCTAAAACAGTTACGATATGCTGGCATAAGATCCAAGATAAAAAAGGTGATTTTAACAATAATATATATCTGGGATGAAAACACAATCCAGTCAGGGCTGTCTTACCTGTGAAGCATGTGAGAAGTGAGGAATGATGCTCTCCTCTGCTGCATCTGGGACTGTGTTTCTGGGTAAAACATGAAGGAGAAATCTCTTAATTACAGCATGACTTACAGGACTTCAACACATTTCTACATAGAAGGTAAAAAAAAAAAAAAAAGTATGTGGATTTTGGTTCTTACCTTGCGTGAACAGGTGGAAGACCAGACGTCTTTACTGATGAGGAAGGGGATGTCTCAGAGGCAGAAGATGTGGGACATTTCTGCGCATAACTCTGGGGGAACCAGCCCCTTTTGCCTCGATAATTCCCACACAACCAACCGGGCTCACCAACATTGTGCTCATCCACCTGCATCATAAGAAACACTTTAATCCCAGTAGTTCAATATGAAGTGATACACAAAAAAACATTCCACATGCTGGTAACTCCATCTGGGTCTCTTTCGTTGAACTATTTGCTGCAGCAGAAATATGAGGATAGGTCAGAAAAAAAACCTGTTTCAAATTGAACATGTGTCGCTAACTATGCATTCATAGACAGACAATTAGTTGCACAAGTTGCATAAATTGTGAGTTAATGTGAACAGTGACCGAAATGCAGGACAATCATTTCCCTAAATCCAGGAACCACATTTAAAATAGTATTTCAGCCTTTAAAGTAGCCTATATGTTGAGATTTTGAAAGCACAACAAAGAAGTTGTTGGAAATAGAAGCAGCATGAGGCAAATTTCAAAATGAAAAGCAATTATAAATTTTACAAATCAAATTCTCAGGATGATGAAGGGGATTTGGGGGTTAATTAGAGGTGTTATTTATGGGAAAAGATGAGAAGCTACGCGAGTGAAAACCTTTCAAGGGTCGATATGCTTTGACCAAAGCTGCTGCAGCTGGAGACATTTTTGCTGGTAGAAGGAAGAGCTAATTTTGCGTAGTGCTGTGTCTCCTACCTCTATGACACAGTCTGCATCGATACTCAGCTCATCTGCGTTGCGGGCGACAAAGGAGTACAGGGCTCTGTATGTGGTTAGCTGCACTGCTCCTTTCTCCTGCTCTTCTTTTCTCCTCTTTTCCTCTTCCATTTGTTTTCGTTTCATCTCTTCTTCCAACTCCCTCTTCTTCCTCTCCTCCTCCCTCTGTCTCCTCTCCTCCTCCCTCTGTTTCCTCTCCTCCTCCCTCTGTCTCCTCTCCTCCTCCTGTGCTTTCTCCTGAGCTGATCTGAGGCGAGCCTGCGCCTCTCTTTCCTCCTCTTCTCTCTGTCTGGCCCTCTGCTCCTCCTGAAGCATTCTTTGTCGTTCTTCCTCTTCCTCCTTCTCCCTTTTCTCTTTCTCTATCCGCGCCAGCTCTCTCTTCTCCTCCTCCAGCTTTGCCAGTCTGCAAGAAGAAAACGCAAGTGTTTTTAACCCACTATAAACACACAAACAGCTTGATAGGAAAGCTGCAGACATAGATTGAGTTCATAGATCACTGGATTCACCTTGCTGCTTCTGCTTCCTCTCTTCTCCTCCTTTCTCTCTCCTCCTCTTCCTTGCGCCTCTGCAGCAGCTTCAGTTTCTCCTCTTTGACTCTTTGCAGGTCATCCAGGATGGCCTGTTGCAACCTCTGCTTCTCCCGCAGCTCCTGGTACAGACAATGCAAAGGAAGCATGATGATTTCTGTCAGGATATTGTCAAACCCAATAATGTTCTCAAATTAAGTAAAAACTCAAAGTAACATGCAGACATATTGAATGTTCTCTATATATTTATGTGTGTGGTTTTCAGAAATAGAAACAGAGCAAATTTGACATTTTGGGTGTATGTTTGTTTTACCCTGAGGGAACATCCTGTTTACACAGAAAATACATGTTATTATCGGGTGAAATGGGAAAGTAAAGAGTGTAGCTGAAGAGAACACAGGAGATGATGATGTCTGAGAAGAAAGGAGATTTATAGGGTTTGTTAAGAAAGATAACAGAGTGGGAAGCAAAGAAAGGAGGAGGGATAACCTTGATGAGGAGGAAGAGCTGGCTGAGGCAGGCCAGCAGGGAGAGAAGGCCTCGCAGAAGGCAGTCATCCATATCCCCCAGCTATGCAGTAAATCAGATGTCACAATGATTAAAAGAGGGGAAAATGTATGGAGGGGATGAAAGCAAAGCAGATGGGGTGAAAAAAAAACATCCATTAAAGACAGAAAAACATTATCACAAGGAGGATATGAGGATATGAGGAAAGATTGATCAAGTGGAACGATGGAAAGTAAATCCAATAATGCAGATATATATATAAATAGAAAAAAAGGAAAATTTGTATAGCACACAAAAATCCAGCCGTGGCAGCAAGGAAGAAAAAGAAGAGAAAGAAGAAGATAGAGGTTATAAGTTCTGAAAGTTATCTGGAAATCACATCGATAAACAGAGAATAAAAGATGAAGATTGACCATTTTAAAGTCAGAATTACATAATAGCATCACTTTCTTAGGTTAGGAACTAGCTGTTCACCGCTAATGTGTTTTAGGGTCTGCAAGTTTTTAAAAATAATTTCCAAAAAAATAACTGAAGGGACATTTTTCATCTCCTTTAATTCTATGTACCTTTTCTTCTCATTTGAGAAGATTAGAAAGAAATAACACAAAAAAGTGAAACCATTCCCAAGATAAACAAGTAAGGTAAAACATTGTTCAACATTATAAAAGAAATCTGTGCTGCCTCTCTAATCATAATAAATCCAGGATGCAGTGCACAGAGCTGCAAGATATTACTGCTGAGTAGGGATGGGCGATATGGGAGGAAAACGTAATCACAGTACTTTGTGGTATTTATCGAGGTAATGACAAAAGGAATCCACAAATTCCTGCAGTGTTTTTGTTTTTTTGGCTGCTCTGTTTAGTCATAGCTGTGCAAAAACAGATTCTGCTCCTAAAAAAAGCAACCTATAAAGAAACAGGTTCCTTCACAACCAGAGAGATATACGAAAAAAGATTTTTAAAGCAAAACTGCAAAAATGAAGCGTTATGGTGCCAAGGACGTGTTTCGCTTCCAGGATGGTGTGTTTAGGGGGATGATTTGCACAAAGCCTGTAGGTCTAACTGTTAAATTTTGGTCTCATTCTGACAAGAGCCTTTCTTTCCACCTATTGATGAATCTACGCTGGGAATCTTTGCAACTTCTCTAATTAATGCTCTTCTTTTCCAGCGAGTTGGTTCAGAAGGGCAACCATGTCCTACTATGTTCTACTGATGGCTTGAACATTTTTATCTGTAGGTTGGTCATACAGTAGTAGCCATTCAAAATTTGCCGACTTTCATTGATAGACCCTTGGCTGGTCCCCTAAAATTACTTTTTAAAACATCAATCTTTGTCCTGAAATATTCTTTCTGTCATGATTTTACATTAAGATCTAAAGAGAAGCGTCATCTCCTGGTTAGACCCTGCAATTATGTGAAAGGGTGGAGTCAGAGTAAAAAAAATATGCATGATCAGTGGCTGGAAGTTGGAGGGGATTCTGCTGGGAGATGCAGGGAATAGGGCTACTATTCGGCTGGTGTTTGACGCCATTTTGAATGGCTGCTACTATTGTTGGCTTTTAACCTAACCCTGCTGAAAATCTTCCATCTTATGTTTTTCTTTAAATCTCTTTGACATAACATGGGGGTTAGTTGATTGAAACGGAATAAGAAGTCTGGACTGCTTTGTGCCGTTCATTGCTTAATGGCTCTGTTGTAAACACTGACCTTCAGCTCTTTGTTGTATTGCTCCATCTGGGCCAGTTTGTCCGTTGTTTCCCTTTCCAGAATGTCCAACTGATCTTTGAGCCGGCGACAGTTCCCGCTTCTCTCGGCAGCGCTCCCTGTGAGGGACGTCAAAGTAGCCACTACACAGCAAAGGTCAGAGGTCAGAGACATAAGAGGTGATTCAATGACCCGTGTCGTGTCTGAATGTTGCTACAGCCTGACTCACAGGGAGGTTTCTTGAGGCTGATGCTTTGCAGCTTCTCAGACATTTGCTGTTGCTCTGGGATGAGCTTTAACAGCTTCCTCTGCCAGTCCTGCCAGGAAAAGTTAGTACTTGAAAAGTTTAGTCACAGTTAAAATGTAAGAGCAGATTTGGGAGAAGACAGAGGAAGTTGTGAACCTCAAACTCAAGCTGAAGAGTGTTGATCTCAGCGATACGAGTGTCTCTCTTCTGATTGATGAGCTCGACCTCGGCCTTCTGAATCCGCCTCTTGCTCTGAGCATCACGGAGGCGGTCTGAGATCTGCTTGTGCCTGTTTCCCTGATGACAACAAGCTATAGTGTCAACCTGGCCGGATTTGCTTAGAAGGTATTAATATAAACGTTAGCATGGCCTCACCACAGCCTCCAGCTCTAACTCAAGGCTCTTCTTTTTTGCTCTGAGTCGAGAGATCTCCTCTTGCTCCTCCTCTTTTCTCCTTCTCAGCTCCTCTTTCTTTGCTCGCTCCCATTCTTCCCTTCTCTGGCGCTCCATCTCCTGCTTCGCCGCCTGAACATACGAAGGTAGAGTCAACTCAAGGCAGCAATCTCAGCACTTATCCATCCCAAAACTGCTCCCACTTACCTCCTTCCTCTCCAGCTCCCTCAGCCTCTCCTCCTCCCTTTGTCTCTCCATCTCTCTCTGGCGCTCCAGCCGCCTCTCCTCCTCCAGCCTCCGCCTGTTCTCCAGTTCCCTGGCCTCCTTCTCCCTCCGCTCTTGAGCCTCCCGCTCCTCCCTCTCCCTGCGCTCCCTCTCCTTCCTCTGTTCCTCCTCCAGAGCCAGCCGCCTTTTCTCCAGCTCGGCACTCCCACGCGCAAAGTTCTCCTTCAGCTTGTCCTCATAGGACACTGTGGAGAGAATTGCAAGAGAGGCGATGAGACCCGTGAAGTCACCCAAACAAACCATGAAGTGTGAAACTGGCCGTACCACCGCTTTTGTTCTTCTGAGTGGATTCGATTTCCGTTGTGTCTATCAAACTTGGACTTATGTAGGGTCCCGTTCCATTGACAAGCTCACCGCACTTCATTCCACCTCTAAAATGACAAACAGAACCTTTTTTTTGTAACATTTAAATATATGTTGTTGCAAATACAGACCCGACCCAGTGTGCTACCTGAGGGAGGGGGGTATCAGGTCCTGAGGCAGAGTAAGAGGCAATGGATGTCCAGTTTTAGCCATGTCCACCAGGTGCATAGCCAGAATGAACTCCTCAGCTCGTAGCTGACCATCCTTATCAACATCTGCAAGGCTCCTGGGTATAAATAGCACATCAAGGGTAGGGGAAGAGTCAATTCAATACAGTTTTTTTTTTATATTGCGCCAATTCACAACACATGTCATCTCAAGGCACTTTCCAGAGACAATTCAGCCAGATCAGACAGTCATATTGGTTCGAAGTTTTCTGTCTAAGGAAAACCAGTTCATTGCATCGACTCATTGACTCTTGAACTCAACTGAACTCAAACTTTATTTATAAAGCACATTTTAAACAACTGGAGTTGACCAAAGTGCTGTACAGATATCACAGTTGCAGGAAATAAGGTAAAAATTTAAAAGCTAAAATACATGAACACAATGCAATAAAATACAATGAAGATACAATACAATAAAATAAGTTAAAATTGAAATAAAAATGTAAATAATTTTGGGTATTTTTCTACAATCCCTCACACCAAGCATGCCAACATATTATCATTATCAGTTCGTATAAACTCGTGCGAAAAGTTATGCACAGTATTTCGTATGTTTTGGACGTTTTCCCGAAAAAACAGATCAGTGCGCATACGCAGGCAGACAGACGAAAAAAGCAGATCCGCGGACGGACGTAAAACTGGGAAAAACAGTGCAATAATTATTTCATGTCTCTAACTACGTTTCTTGCTGTTTTGTATCTTAGGGTTAGGGTTAGGGTCAGGGTTAATTGTATGTCAAATTCTATGTTATTGAATGTAAGATGCCCATGCGCAAGGATATCTTGTCTCGAGGCAAGACGTAAAAATGCGATGAAATACGACGAAAAAAACGTCAAAAACGTACGAAATTACGGTGCATAACTTTTCGTACGATTTCATGCAAACTCATACTGAGAATACACTGAGCATGCTCCATTTAAACAGAAAGAACCAATATCAGTGTGAACGGCCAACTGCCGAGGCCGACTGGGGTTCAAGGAGACACCAGCTGAAATGTTGATTCTATATTTGTTGAGCTTTGAAAGTTTACTGCTGAGAACCAATATTTTGCATTTTGTATATAAAAATTCTACAATATTTGGAAGACAAGCAAGGCCTCAGCATCACAGATCTTCTACCGTACTTAACAGAATAAACGTATTCATCCTTTTTTTTTCAGCCTCGGGGCTTTTTTGCTAAATAATCTAAAACATAATCACATCTGACCATAAATCATAGTTCCTGTTACAGTTTAGAAAGCTTAACAAGTAGGTTTTTGTGATGTTTTTTTTTTCCTTACATACCTCTTAAACACAAACAGGCTGGAGTTATATATACATACATGCAGCACTTTTAGTTATGCTCCCATTTTTTATGAGATGAACTCCATGATCTAAAAACTTTTCCAAATACACAATATCACAATTTCCCTCAGATATTGTCCACAAACCAGCCTAAATCTGAGATAGTGAGCACTTCTCCTTTGCTGAGATAATCCATCCCACCTCACAGGTGTGCCATATCAAGATGCTGATTGGACACCATGATTAGTGCACAGGTGTGCCTTATATTTTTGTTGAGTGTATATAATTCAAAAGATAGTATGGAGACTTGGTGACCCCAACATGTCACTATTTTCTTCACTTTTTATAGCTTTTTAATCATCTTCCCTTCTGTGCGTTTTGTTACGATAAACTCATGTTGTCATCCATCCTTGTATGTTATGCCTTATTCTAAACTTTTTAATCGTTACTCTGACTGTAGATGCCAGCAAGTTGAGGTAAAGAACAAAGTTTCATAGCCATTACTGAACTAATAAGGATCCACAGATAATCCCCCCTCCTTAAATAGTATTTTCTATTTTTTTCCTGTTAAAAAAGTGGGGGGAAAATGGGCCTATGGGTTACATAGGCCCATTTATGAGGGAGGGCAGAGAGAAACTGATCATATTTCTTTAGAAAATTCCTTTAATGTTGTTATCATCAGCCTGTTTGATTTTATAAAGAAATATTTTTTTTTTTGTGTAGACAGTAAAAATAATGACACCGAATATAAATAACATAACATACATACCAAATGGTAGCTAGTTGAGTTTGGGTCAGATTGGAGGCCATCAGAGCATTTCTAACCTGAGGTCCTGCAAAGTGAGAATAAAGAAAAATCAAACTATATTCAAAAAATTTAAATTAGATAAGACGCAGGTCCTGTTTGCTGTGGTAGAGACATTCAACAGATTTACAATCAGCTAATTTATGTTGAAAGCTTTTAGTTTATTTAGCTGCATTAGAGCGTTCATACATGCTGGACCTACCTGACAAGTAGCCACTCATGAGTTTGTCGAGTGTGTTAAACTGCTGACGGTACTTGAGCCTTGAGGCCTGTGGAACGGCCCAGTCACCTGAACCCATCTTTGGAGAGTTGCTGGCCAATGATGTGGTAGAGGAAGAATTTGAACTACGGGGAGAGGAAAGATGAAGGCTTTAAAGTAGCTGTTAAATGAAGGGCAAAGACAATAAAATAAGACCATCAGATATTTTCTGCTCCCATCCAATCTGGATACGCAGAAACTCCCTGTTGTTTCTCTTTTAGCTCTTTGCTGTCGAAAAGCTTTAAACGAATGGTGATTAAAGACCTCAGAATCTTAGGTTTCTCAAGAGTTTCCAATGATATTTTAAATCACTGTAATGTGACTCATTAGGTATGCGGGGTCAAAATTAAATAAATAAATATATCTCGATATAACTGTGTCATTAAACAGGTGAATCTCCCTTCTATTTATTTAATGTGCTTGTAAATAATAACAAAAAGTTTTGTAATCGCTCCTGGTTTCACCCCACTATAATAAAAATTATGATGATAATTGAACATCATTTATCTCTAAATGGAGGAATTTACTTCTGCATTTAACCCATCCCCTTTGGAAGCAGTGGGCTGCCACTGTGCGGCTCCCCAGTCTCCCTACTGAGGCTATGGGGATTGAACCGGGTACTTGCACCCTTCTCAGAGCACTGCTGTAACCACTAGGCCACCACTCTCCCTAAGAGTAAAACCCTTCTATGTCATTTGCAAGTAGGAAAACCCTAAAAATCTGCAGTGTATCAAATACTCGTCCACCCCATACAGACTGCACAGTTACACCCTTTCTGACAGCCTGCAGCCAGAAGCTGATATATATGTGTCTTGTCATTTGAAACTAAAATTAGTGTAGATCCCATTTCTATCCTTTTTTCAAAACCATTCAAAACGCCACGAGCAGTCACCTGGTTAAGAGATAACCAAAAGAATCTTAGTTAACACAATAGCTTTTTTTTTTTCTCTAAACCCACTATTGTGACTGTTCCAGGAAGAGATTGAATGTTTCACACAAAGCCAGAAGTTCACAAGAAGTTGTTGCAGTATTTTCTCTTGCCATCTACAGTAATATATAAAGTTTAAGGGATTACTAACCCCTAAATTCACTTATTCTTTGACAATAAACTATATGAATAAAAGTTTTATAGGGCTTTCCACAGGTCCCAGATAGTATTTTGAGAATTTACTGCACAATTTACTGCACATTTGTTAAAATCCTGCTTTTGTGTCTGCCTATATACTGCTTCTGATTTTTGTCATTGGTTTACTGGGGGTGTGATGCTAGATGCTAAATCATGAACAGTAATGGTTCTCTTAGGGGTTGTTTACAATTCTCATCCTTTTTACAAGTGTATCAAACTTACTTCATTTGGAAAATTGTGAACCAACCCATAGTGAATGTAATAATTTTGTCATAATGGGAAATTACATAACTTCATGTTTTTTTTCCATTTTAAAGGTTAATGAAGATATATATATATATATATATATATATATATATATATATATATATATATATATATATATATATATATATATATATATATATATATACAAGTCTGTATACATATATATATCCATCCATCCATTATCTGACACGCTTGTCCCAATTGGGGTCGCGAGTAATGCTGGTGCCTATCTCCAGCTGTATACATATACATATATAAATATATATATATATATATATATATATATATATATATATATATATATATATATATATATATATATATATACTGTAATATGTATATAATATATATGTATGTATATACTGTATATGTATATAATATATATAATATGTATGTATATGTATATATATATATATCTGCTGGCGATGGTGTTCTACTACCCTTTCTGCGCTCCTCCAGCACTTCGGCTAGCTTTCTCAAGACCTGGTCGTGGCGCCATCCATAGCGGCCCTGTGAGAGGGCCACTTTGCAGCCTGACAAGATGTGCTGGAGGCTTGCGTTGGGAGCATTGCAGAGTACACAAAATTCCTCGCTTCCGAACCACTGATGAAGGTTCCGAGGAACGGGGAAGCGTGTCATATGTTGAGCGGATAAGGAAGCTAAGTCTTGCCTGTGGGATCTTCCACAAGTCTGACCAACTGATGTTCCTGGTTGAGATTCCCTCCCAGGTTGTCCAGCTTCCTTGCCATCCCTGAGACACAGCCTTGATCTTATAGCGGTCTTCCTCCATCCTCATCACCTCCGCCACCACCATTTCCTTTCTTTCCTTGTGGTGGGCCTTGGACCAGAAGCGTGGTGCTTTTCCCCATCCTAGGCCTGCTCTTCCTACCTGCACCCTGCCTACAATCTCCTTGTGCTGCAGCCGGCTTACCGCTTGGTCGACCTCGGTCTGGGCGTTCCACTTGCGGCCAGTCAGGACCCTGGCGTTAGCATTCCTAACCAGCTCATCTGTGGACTCCCGTAGCTCGAGCACCAACCTGGTCTTTTCTTGCATGTAGCCCAGCTGTAGCGATCTTAGGGGTAGCTGGAGCATGTTCCTCCCAAATAGGCCGGCTTCAGAGAGGCACCGTGGCAGCCCCAACCACTTTCGGATAGATGAATTGGCTTTCCCATCCATCCTACTCACGGTTGATGAGGGGATCTCACTCATTTTCAGGGGCCACAGCATGTATATATATACATATATATATATATGTATATATATATATATATATATATATATATATATATATATATATATATATATATATATATATATATATATATATATATATATATATATATATATATATATATATATATGTATATATAGTAAATCTGTGACAGAAGCTTGTTAATGACTAAAAAAGGCCTTTGGATTGAGACATCAAGTCAAGTGTTGGCGGGGGTTTATGAATGACTTTTCATTCTATAATTCTGAGCAGGTGTCAATTAGAGTAAATCCACCCGTAACTAATCAACAAGAAAAAAGAAAGCCCTTAAGGGTATATATGGTACAGGTGGAACGACTAAATCCTTTATGCATACATGGTATATCTGGCTCTAAATTTGGGCTTCAGCTTAACCTTCGTACACACACTGAAGGAGAAAAAAAAAGGTGTACCTGCTTGATCCAAGGTCCAAAAGAGAGTTTGCTTTTGACACGCCCGGGGATGGCGAAAAAGCCATGGGGGAGGAAAAGCCCGACATTGGAGTCCCTGTAAATAGAGTTGTGGGGGCAGAGTATTTTTTTTTAGCTAATAATAACATGAAGTGACTGTATTAAAAAACCAAAGTCCATAAAAAAGAAATACATTGTGTGGAAACTCTCCTAACTAAAGCTGTTGATGACTTTGTGTGCATCTAATCTTATCTCTTAGCATTTTATAGACAGAACATTGAGTTCAAACAGGAAGGTGACTCACAACAAAGGTTTTATGATTGATTTTAGCACTAATCCAAAGAAAAGAGTAAGCTAAACCAACTGCTGTATTGAATTTACTGTTAGTTTAATGAGAAATTTGTGAAGAATGTATGAAATACTCAGACATTAGGGTGTAAGCTGACTTTTTAAATTTACATTTTGAAATACAACATGCTGGAATTAAATAAGAATGCATCAACAATAGTTTCTATTATTGGGATCAATCTTCAAATTAAATGAATTTTTTCAATATTGTGAAATAAATTTCATAATGAGAGATAATTTTACTAGCACTGAGTCAAATTAAATATTTATGTATTATTTAATCAAGCAGATATTTATTTCACAATGATTTTTTTTAAATTGTATTTTAAGCACTTTGGTGTTGCGTAGCCCTTACCCAGTATCTTGCAACAGCAATCTTAGAGTCAAATATGGATCATAGCCAATCCATTTGTCAGCAAATCTTTGCAAGAGAAGGAACTGAAAGGTTCTAGTGCAGAACCAACCTGCATTGCTGGGAACAAGCTGGGGGGTGAGAAGGCTGACAGAGCCATTGGGGAGCCCCAAGTTCCCGACTGAGCTGATCAATGGGAGGGTCATTGGCACTGGCACCAGAGGTTGCACAGATGGTAAAGGAGGATTAGCTTGGATGGGTGTTAGAATGGGCATGGTGGAAATACTTGGCATGGGGGATAGACCAACTGACAGGTTTGGCATGGATCCCATTCCTACACAAAGGAAGCAAGACAGGTAAAAATGGTAACATGAAACATCTTAGTAGGCAGGTTATCTGGGGTTATATTTAAAAGTGGCTGACTTTCATACTACACGTTTTTTTTGCACTAAAGGTAAAACTAGTATACAATACAAAGCCAAGCACTTGTTTGTATTAATTGTGATTATTATGTCTATGTAAATTAATACTTAAGATTAGGCTTTTCAGACAAACTGAATTTTATGTTAGACCAATTAAAAAACAAATTTTGAATACACCTACACCATTCTATGGGGTAGAATGGTGTAGGAGAGTCCAACAGCGCCCAAGATGACATTAACTGGCACCCTCCAGCAAATAGTAAATGATCAAAGGTCTTCAAGTAGGTCAAGAACCACCCTTAACAGACACATTGGAGACAAGAGCTAAGACTGTTGACTTCCACTTCCACTGAACTTTCTAGATTCCTTTCTGCTGTCAGCATGACAGTCCAATTATATCGTATATTATTGATTGCTGTAAATTCAGTTATTGAAGGATGTTATCAGATCTGTCTGTATAATTAAATGACTATACATTTCTATAAATCTTTTGGATTAGTTTCTTTTTACAAAAAGAGCAGGACTATATATACTTCCTGAACCACAGAGAAAAAGATCTTCACTTGACCTAAGGAGAAAAATGGGTACGAGTTCATCCCTGAAGTTTTCTCTCATATTCTAATCAACTGAGATTGACCTTTAGACCTTTCAAAATGCTGAGATACTTTCACTGCATACAAAGCCTCGAATTAAATAGTTTATTTCACATCTCTATATAAATATCTGGTGTCTTTAATCAGTCTATTTACTTTATTTTTAGACAGCAGAGAAAGTATTACCAAAACGTGCCGATGAAGACATGTTGAAGCTACTGTTTGAAGTCGTCGGAGGTTGCTTCATGGTAATTGGCAAGGATGAGGGCAAGTTTCTGCCCTGGAGCGTAAGTTTAATGAGCTTCATAGCAATGGAAAACTCCAATCTGTCCATCTTGCCATCACTGTCCATGTCAGCTAGGTTCCTATAGAAGAAAAACTGGTAAATCTAGTGTATAAAATGATGTGGTTACAGAAAACTGTACATTCCTGAGGCTTAACCCCCCCCAAGACAATAGCAGAAGAAAGGCACACAAGGGACAAGGCGCTGGTGGGATTGAATTCCAGCAACACTTTTTCACACAAAAACAGCAAACTCACACATGCATAAAGTTCTAATTACAGTGCACAGAAATTTCCTCTCCTCTTCCACATACTCTGTTTACTAGGTGTGGCAGGCAGCGAAGGAAATGAGCTCTCAACAGGAAGTCAAAAACAACCCGATGAACTAAACCAACTCACTGACCCACTGGCTACAGCTTCGAAATGAATTCTCATGATGATTGGCTGAGCTTTTAGTTACCAGATCTCCGCCAAGACAGAAGCCGGCAGGCCAGACTGGAGAAAGAATTTCCTTGCTTGTTCCCCTGTGGACAAACAACAATCAGGCTCTGGGAGATCGGAATCTGATACACATCTATTCAAAAAGCTTTAAAGCCATAACAGTAGGACCTAAAATTGAGGAGGCTTCTGTTTCCAGGACTCTTATAGATTTCTTATAGCATGTTTTTTTTTTTTTTACATTTGAGAACAAAATAACTTTACAACTGCTCTGCAAGTAATTAAGTCTTATCTGTAGCTTCTGCTTCAAAAATAATAACAGTCAGACTTAGAATTTATTTTAAAGAAGTTTAATTAAAAAGACAATAAGAAACAGAGCATTCTAGATTAAATGCACATCCTTCAAAGCACATTGATGCATTTTGGTACTTTTTTTGAAAATAAACATAAAAAGCACAACTCAGTGCTTTATCTTTTCATATAAAAACCAATTTACCAGCAATTTGTCCACTTAAATTGGAATATATATAAGAAATTAAACCGCAACCAAAGTTACCCTTTTAGGTTTTTAAATGTGTATTTAGTAAGTAAAAATGCATAATATTGATTGGTACGATATTAAAATTAATGTGAAGTGAAGTATGTAACTTCAACATAAATCAATAACACTGGATGATCTGTTACACAGCATTAATTGTTTTATATACTTTAGAAAATGTCCTTTAGAAGATGGAAGAAGGTTATCATTTTCTGTTCATGTTTTCATTTTGACCTCTGCTTTATGCTTCAAAAACAGCTCTAGCTTAAGACAGTCTTCTAGCAGACGTGACTGAAATACTGGGTGTCTGTGAGATGGACCAATTTTCTACTGATACCATCAGATTACATCAGACTAAAATTTTAGGAGCTCAGAGCGAGAGTAACCGCATCGGAGCCTTTGATGTGCTTCATTTGAACCATAACTGAGCAGCTGTCAGTGGAAATAAATTTGTGTCTAATCACTATCTGTTTGTTAGGAGATCCTACCTGAGATGTAGCCGAGGACTGAGGCGAGGGTGTCAAACTGTTTATCATGTTTCCCTCTCTCCTCTGGAGTGATGGCCCAAACACTGGAACCACCTGGAAGAAGAAAAAGAAATCCACTTTATCCAGATAAAATAGTGTGTAAAAGTCTCAACTCAACCCTCATTCCTGTAAACCAAGCTGCTAAGCCTTCTGAATATTTTAAAGCTAAGTTTGGAAGTTAGACTTTAAAATACTTCTGTTAGTCTATAAATCTCTGAATGGCTTAGCACCTAAATACATCACAGACTTGCTATCAGTGTATCAACCCTCCAGACCACTCAGGTCTTCTGGCTCCAGCCTGCTCTGCATACACAGAACCAGAACTAAACATGTAGAAGCAGCATTTAGTTCCTATGCTACACTTATCTGGAACAAACTTCCAGAAAACTGTAAAAGCACAGAAAGCCTGAGTTCCTTTAAATCAAGACTAAAAACACATTTGTTTAGGATTGCCTTTGACTTTTCTAGTTAAACAGTTCAACTGAAACATCATTAGTTCAACGTTTTTATTTTCTTTAGTCCAACTGTTTTTAATATTCTTTTTTGTTTCTCCTTTTTTGATGTTATTTTATTTTCCTACTTGCTTTGATTCTCTTTTATTTTCCTTTATTTTAATCATGTAATGCACTTTGCATTGTCTTTGTACTGAATTGTGCTATACAAATAAATTTTCCTTGCCTTGTCAGTTCTTTCCTGGCTTTTTTCTTTTAAAGTGACCATGTTGAGATCCAGTGTATTTTGCTGATTAATTGACAACCCGGTTGGGAGAAATATGCCATGTGTTAATAATGTGTTATCCTTAAAATATTGGTGACAAAATGACTTTACTAGACAATAGGAATGGCCTTTTCTGCACTTTTTGGGCATCACAACTTATGTGATGCCCAAGCGCGACCAGGGGAGCGCTTAGGCATCACATAAGTTGTGATGCCCAAGCGCCTCCCTGGTCGCGTCTCCATAGAGACCAAGTTTTGCAATTAGGTGACATAGCCGCTGCAATGGAAAGTCAGAGGAGCATAGAAACAGTGTGATATCTCTATTTTTTCCCCTCACAAAAATACAAGAAATGATCAACTAATAAGTACCAACGTTACTTACAAATGCAGAAACTAGTAAAGTAATTTTATTACACTTTTGAAAAGTATCAACTAACAATTAACTCTTTACTTTTTTTAGAGTAACTACCCCAACACTGCTGTTATCAAATTTAATTACACTCCAAAACTAAATGGATAATCGAACCTTGTCTCTATTTAAGATAATAAACACACCCAAACCAAACAGTATAATTCTATATTTACCCCCTTCGTTACATACAATTTGTAAAAACACAAACTTTGTTCCAAAGCTACAAAAAATACCAGGCACAACATAATTTGATTTTAAAAAAAGTATTACTGCAGAAACAATGTTTTCAAATAGCTGAAAACAGAAAGTATTAAGTCCTGTGTCAGATTTCCAACAAATGATCTCTAATATCATACAAAACATGATTTATATTTTTTCAGCAGTGGCAACATACTAAATGTTGCTTTGTTTTAAATAAATACGGTTTGATCATATTAAACATACAACTAAAATTCTTTGATACCATCAGGCATAATGACACCCCACAGGCATAAAAAAGGTTATAATGTCAAAAAACAGCGAAAGAAATAATAAGACAGTTTATGTATGAGCACTGATGTATACACCTATTCTACAGCCGATGCTAGATCCATACTCCCAACAGGTCTTATACAGGGCAATGGTTATATGGTACATTTTACAAATAAATATTATTAAGCAGGATCAAAATGAGGAATTAAGAACAACAACTATAACAATATTTACAACAGAAACCACTTTTAACTATTATTCTCTTTATTATTGCATGTGTTGTATTGAATATTGATTGAATTATATTAGATTATTGAACTATGACTTTTATCTTCCTGTCTCTAGTGTATTTGTCTTATGTGTATTTATGTAGATTTCAGGTAACAGAAAGGGTCCTTACGTAATGTGGATTAAAAAAAACAAACAAACATCCTGCAAGGCTGCAAAGCCTTTCTGGTATTGTTCATTTCGATTAGATAGAGGATTAGGTCCAAAACGATTTCCTTTAGTCTCCGGGGCCTCATTTTTCAACAGACGCTGTACAATAGTCTCTCTTTTTCAGCTTAAAATTCTCAATAGAGAATAAAATGCCATCTAAAGTCCAAAGATAAGCCTAAGAGTTTAAAAGGTCACAAGTAATAGTGAAAACTATAAAAGAGGGAGGTTTTATGATTTGGCATATTGACATTTATGAAAAATTAATTCTTAAAATGCTAAATATATTAAACATATTTTTTAGTATAACAGAGTTTCAAAATTTCTAATTAGCATGATAAATTAGATCAGATCATTTAATTAAATCCTGCTGCCCTGCCTAATCTGATTAAGTCCCATGTAATAAACTTGTAATAAATCAAGTGGAGCTTCTTCTCAGCTTTTATTATCAAAATAAAGACAAATAAAGAACAGGTTGAACTTACTAAAGAATGTTTGCAAATTCAACTTTGTCAAACATTAAAACTGCAGAGCTTATATATTACAGTGACAACAAAATTGTCAGGAGAAAGGTTTACAACCTTAAATCATTATTGACGAGATCCATTCCAATCCCCCAAATTTCGAATTACCCAAAAGCCAGTGTAACAGAGTTACTTCGAAAAGCCAAAATGTGAATGACGATTTTAATACAGACACAATATTTATCTCACTATAACAAAATGTGTTCATAATTTGTATTCCAGATTAGCCCTGCCCTTCAGATGACACCCAAGCAAACTTCCACCTACTGTAAGCATCATTAATAAATAAAACTGTCAACACTGCTACTTTTCCCTCTGTCTGTTCAGTTCTCACTTTCTCCCACCAAAAACATCCAGCCTGAGGCTGCAGTTAATACAAAGCTAAATTCTTCTTTTTTTTTTCCCTTCTTTTTTTTAAATTAATTAATTTATTTAATATTTTATTTAAGCTAAATTCCTAATCTGGTACATTTATCTATGATAAACCCTTTCACTTTTTTTTTTTTTTTTTTAGAATTAAGCAATTTATATTGAATATTGCAAATAATGAAGCACTCATCCTGTCTCTTAACATGATGACTGACTCTTGAAGTGTTTTCTATATTTTCATTTTGTCAGTTTAGATATTAAACACAGATTTTATGCTGTAAATGCAAATCAAAGTAGAACAGTATTTTTAAAGGAAAGGAAAATGATACAGTCTCCATGAGCCGGTACCCTTGATCGATGTAGTTACAGCTGCAAGCCTTTTGGAATTACATTTTTGCGAACTCTTCTTTGCTAAACATAACGTTAACTTAATAAAATTTATAACAACATTCAATATTATTTTAGGAGAGAAGTAGACAAGTAGTTTGGAAAACAATTTTAAAATAGGATTTTATTTAGCTTTTTTTAACAGTGTATTTCTTCTCATCTCCCTTTTAAGAAGTCCAACTTTATGGAGGACGCAAAAACAAGTTTTTAGTGAACACCGTCTCCCACATGAAGTCAGTTCAGTCACCGTCACAATTGTCTTATATTCTTCAATTTCTAATGAAGGACTTAACAGCACTGTAAGAAATGATCAAACATTGGAATATTGTTTTATAATGCTGTTTAATTATTAGGTGACCTCTTAAAGAAGTTGTACTGGATTTCCTTTCGAAGTATCATATTAAAAACAGTTGAAGGCATCTTTTTCTTTTAGAAATTTGCTTAAAAATACAACAAAATGTATCATTTTATCCTTTTTCTCAGTTACACACTACTAAAAATCCTAATGGAATAAACTCTGGTTTGTTTTGTGTAGCAATGCAAAATATGTAATATTTCAAAGGGTACTGATAACCATTTAACGCCGTGTATGGGGAAAAATTTAAAAAGCAAAAAAACTACAAGCCACTTGAGTCAGAAAGCAGAAATACAAAGATTATTCATGAAACAGCTCTAACTTATTAATGAGTATTGTTATTAATTAATTAAATAAAGCTTTAATTCGGGACAGCTAAAAAAAGAACTGCTATGATAAAGCTGAGCCGACTCCTTAAACTTTTCATCTTTTGCTGCTCAACAGATGGGCTTTCCTGATGCCAAAAGCTGCTGCCATGGTGATCACAGATTTGAACCAAATGAGTAAACAGATTTCAGCTGAAATGGGACGAAGAATTTACAAAATAAAATCAACCTTATGCTAATTAAGATATAATGCTTTATATACATTTAACCAGCGTTACCTCTCTTTTGCCAACCTGCAGCACACATTTTTGGAACAGCCTTTATATATATAGTTAGACAATTGTGGTCTCATCTTTAAAATGTAGTCAAAGTCTCACATATAAGCGTTGATAGAACTAGCAAACTGAGAAATAATAAGGTTTAATTTAGTTTTTCTTTTTAATGGATTCCAAATCATTAGATAATGTCAATGAAAAGCAAAAAAGCTTTTGCTACCCACAGCTTCAAAATCACTTCTGCTTTTCAGGACATGTACAAGAGCACCTACAGGTTAACACTCATACATAATTATTAATTCTTTTAACATAAGCAAATTATGATACTTCCACTGAAATATATTACTGTTTGGAGTGAGGTGTACTTTATTTAAATTTTTCAATTGGTTCCAGATAAGGCGATTAGAAGGGATGCACCAACTTGATGCCAGAGTAAGGAAAAGCTTTATCAACAAGCAGTGTTTCAATATAAGTTAGGAATTTGATTGATGGTAAGATGTTAAACATAGGCAAAAAATACAGTTTAGGAAATGTGTAGTGTGTAATAAACAAATGTAAGTTGCAGAGTAGAAGACAAAAAACATTTTTGCAGAGGAGCAAAAGCACCTTAGCAGATATCAAAAATGCCCACTAATAAATATATAAATACATTATTTACATGTGCTAATATGTTTTCATTATTAGAAATACAAAGAAGTGCTATCTGATATTTATATTGTTGTTGGGGCTAAAAACTTACAAATATTAAATACATTTCCTTAACCTTAGTAACCTCAGTACTGTG